ATCTGGAGAATTTTAAAAATAGGTGAACAGCAGCATGGATATAAGCGATGTGTCTGAATGGTAACAAACTCAACTGATAGAAGACAAAGTCCGCCATTCTCTAATTCTCATACAGCTCCCTGTACAACATGCAAAAACATGCAACAAATGCCATGGATTATGGAAACAAACACACAACCGACTTTTAAACATAATGAGAAACCGACACGTCATCACTCCACTTGCAGATTGCGCTATGTCACCAATTTTGATCCCGCTCCAAAAATGATTTTAAACCCAGAATACAAAATAAGTTGACAAAAGCAAATTTATCCAGTTTTCCCTTCAATTAAAGCTGACGGGTGCTAACTTTGTCTTACATTAAATGATGCTCAACACACAGAGACCTGATAAAAACTCTCAGTAAAAAAAAAAAATCCACAAAAAAGTACTCCAGGGTGTCAGGAACCTTTAAAAATTGTGCTAACTTTTATTTTTTAAACTAAGATCCATTATTTCTGAGCTGTTTAATGAATCAAACTTCGAAGTGAATTTTCTTGTATCAAAGTTCAAGAAAATTCTTTTGATCCAAGTCATTTCATCTTTTCTAATTAAAAGTGTTAAAGTCTTTGAAAAGATAAAATAACACTGAACTCAAACTTATTAAAAAAATATGTTTTTGTCAAATTTTAAATAAGTTAATACAGCGTCATATTATAAATAACACTAGTTTTGAAACTATATGATATATGACTTTCACACAATTTTAAGAAGTTGCCAAAATTATCCATATTATTCCAAACTATTCATACCCCTAAGGTGTATATACAGTTGAAGTCAGAATTATTAGCCCCCCCCTTGATATATATATATATATATATATATATATATATATATATATATATATATATATATATATATATATTTTTTTTTTTTTTTTTTTTTTTTTTTTTTTTTTTTTTTTTAATTTCCCAAATGATGTTTAGCAGAGCAAGGAAATTTTCACAGTGTGTCTGATAATATTTTTTCTTTTGGAGAAAGTCTTTTTGTTACATTTTGGCTAGAATAAAAGCAGTTTTTAATTTTTTAAAAACCATTTTAAGGTCAAAATGATTAGCTCCTTTAAGCTATATATTTTTTCGATAGTCTACAGAACAAACCATCATTATACAATAACTTGCCTAATTGCCCTAACTAGCCTAGTTAACCTAATTATCCTAGTTAAACCTTTATAGAAGTGTCTTGTAAAATATCTAGTAAAGTATTATTTACTGTCATTATGGTAAAGATAAAATAAATCAGTTATTAGAAATAAGCTATTAAGACTATTATGTTTAGAAATGTGTTGAAAAAAAATCTTCTCTCCGTTAATTAGAAATTGAGGGGAAATAAACAGAGGGACTAATAATTCAGGGGTGCTAATAATTCTGACTTCAACTGTGTGTGTGTGTGTGTGTGTGTGTGTGTGTGTGTGTGTGTGCGTGTGTGTGTGTGTGTGTGTGTGTGTGTGTGCGTGTGCGTGTGTGTGTAAACATTTTTTCTCTCTTTTTTTTTTTTTTACTTCTGGTCCTTTGAATGGAAATCTTTCGCGTTTATCTCATCATGAAAATTATGCAAAAATGTGCTCAGTTTTAAAACTTTTAAATGAGTCTGTACTATAAGCTCTTGTTATCGTCAGTTTTTGCACCTCCTGAGCCCTGTTTTGTGCTGTGTGCATGCAGAACACAGCATCGAAATATTATATGATGGAGTGATGTAACAGACTGCAAAGCCAGACCCCTGCTGTTCGATCCAGATATCTCTGTTTCCGCTGTGTTGTGATGAATCTTACTGTTTGCTCTAAGCTTTTCTTGTTATTTCTACAGGAGGCACAGCATAGATTCCTAATAGACAGATTGTCTGTGTTCAATATATCCCATTATTTCACCCAGCTCAGTTAAAGTACGTCCCCATTGTGTCAGGTCAGATCACATCAGATGTGACAAAACTTTTTTTGGTTCTTTATGGTTGTTATTTTGTGGATTACATGATATGATACCAGGAGGATTCTCCATTAGCCTTTAGTGCTAGCATGCTATGTTTAAGAATAACAAAAAACATCCATAACCTCCTCCTGTACCTTCATTAATTGTTGACATTTCATCCATCCATTCAATGTGTTCCACATGCTCAGCACTACCAAGTCAATGCGAACCTGATTCTTTCATATCTCTCAATCCTTGAAAACGCTGTTGTCAGCTAGCAAGCCTCTGATATAGAGCAACTTGTATAGAAAAGACTGTGCAAAGTTCAGCTTCAGAGTTAACATGCAGGCGTAACAGGAATAAAGTGCCCTTTTACAATACTCTGCTCAACTTCTGCTTGTGCGACACCGACCTAATTATTATAGAATTTTCATGCATTTTGTGTGTATGTATTTTATGATCCATTTTTTAAAAAATGGTATACATTTAGAAATACCTTTTTCAAAAAAAAAAACAAAAAAAAAAACAATTGGTTTTAGGAAGATGAACAAACAATGATTTAGTTCGTGTTACGTGTTTAACTTGTTTTGTTGGATGAGACGTAACATTAAGTGAGTCTCTATGGTGCTGGGTGAAAATGAGAAAACACAACAAATGGATAAGTGAAACAAGAATAACAATTTATTAAACAAAGAACATCAAACGATGGATACACATTTAGAAGGTTAACTTAAATAACTGAATTAAACAAAAAACAGGAGTAGAATTAAATATAACAAAACAATCGAACTAAACTGCAAGCCACTAAACTTTCTAATCAAATAAAAATGCAGAAACAAAACAGTAACCTTCAGCATATGCAGTGCTTATCTAAACTTCTTAACTAGTCCACAACAAAATAACAAACGTGGCTCATCCTCCATAAACTAACTAACAAAAAAAATGCTGCTCTGAATTACTACAGTTCTCGTAAAGTACACACTGTTAGCAACTAGCAAAACAACAGCTTATCTCATAATCCAATTCTCATAAAGATCATTCGACTTCCTAATTATTGGGTAAACTGAGCTCCACAAACTTATCTAATAAATAAAGTACTTAAACAAGAGACAAACCAAACAACAACAATAATAATACAAAAACAGATAAACAGGCCGGTCGACACATGAGGAGTTTGGTGGCAAGTCAAACGCATTTTAAATGTAGGTGGACCAGTTCCTGATTGGTGCTCTGAGTGCGTCATAATGATGATGATTGACAGCCTTGTCAACACAAGTAGAAAACATGCAAGTAGGTTAATTTTTACTAGGAGGTGCAACTGAATATGTGATGCCACAAAGCTGAGAAATTTGCCCTAAATGTATTTTTTACTTAAGTTCAACCTCAAAAAGTTCAACTTGACCTAAAAATTCATCCTGCAAAAAAAATCCTGTGGGTAATTTAGAGCAAGTAAGTGCTCTCTGCGTGTTCTCTTTGTGTAACCCAGCATTAGTCATAATGAATGCTTTATCGTGTGTTTTTAAATGCATGATGCTCTTTACAGTCAATAAATACAATATTTGACCAAATTTTCATCAGTTAGATCTTTCCAACTTTGAAGTTGTAGGCTTTGTTCATTTGTGCTTAAGGAAAACTGGCTACATGATATATATATATATATATATATATATATATATATATATATATATATATATATATATATATATATATATATATATATATATTATCTTACTCATAAAAGTTTTTCACTTCAAGGTAATTTTCCACTCCAGTTGAATTACTTAAACATATGACAAAGGTACGTTTGAGGCAAGTTTTAAGCGTTTCCGACAAATAATTTGCGATATGGGGGAAGTTTGCCTGTATTCACGAGTTTGTGAATACTTAATTTTGCTTTAGGTGTGGTGTGTTTTTTTTTTTTTCTCCATTTTTGAATGCAATTTCCCTTACATGATTTATTCTGGTTTCAACTGATGACTGTATAGCAGTGTTTGACTGATTGCTACTTAATTCAAGAGCGTACTTTGTTAGTTAAGAATCTGCTTCTAATAGACTCGCACACTTTTAAGCAGCTTACGCCCACTGACTTTCTTTTGTGGATTTTTGAAGGTCAAAAAAGCCACGTTCTTTACACACAACATTCTTTCCAGCTCTTTCTCTAAGCCTTTAGTTTGCCTTCCGTTTTTCACCAGCACACAAACTTTGAAACATGGTGCATCACTAGGAGCAAAAAACAACACAATTCATCATTTAGAGATATCTTATTTTTCTTTGATTCATGAGTCTGTTGCTTTCTTTAATATCTTGGCTAAACCTCAAGGCTAATAGGAAGACAATCCATCTTCATTTTACTGCAGATTTCTCTGGGTCTTACTAGTCCTCCAGCATCTACTAGTCTAACAACTCTAACACTGCACTCAAGAGCAAATGACATTTGCTGTTTGTTCAAACTACTTTTTTTTTTTTTTTTTGACTGAGCTGAAACAACACAATTCTTGAGTTCTTTGGTGGGACAACTTCATTTTTGTAATGTTCAATCCATTTAAATTATTAAAAACCAATAAGATAACTTTATTTCTTTATGTTCCACAAATCAATTGTGTGGAACCCAGCATTTTTTTTACAGTGAATGTGCTCTAAAACTGTGACTTTAATGCATGCAGTATTATTTCAGAAATGTCAGTGTCTCATTTTTCAGGGTAGACATCTTTAGACACATACGCCTCCCATTTAAATCATTTTTTTCTCTGAATAAGACGGAGCAGCATTTTATTTGAAAGATATGGCATATTCTCCAAACACTCTTTCCGGTTCAATATATCTCTCGACTCTTCTGCTGATCCTCCAATTATACACAAATTCTGCTGATAAAAGCACTGGAGCTCTTCTGTGTTCAGCTTTATTCAGCTTTATCTCTTTCTCACTGACCACATTAGTCTTTCTCATATATAAATTAAGATTGTGTATTGTAGGTTTATATTAAGTGAACAAATATAAATATGTGTTGCTCTAATATGTGGTTTCTTTCATTTAATGGTGGTTTTGATCTGTTTTTAGTACACCCGGGTTTGGATTCCTGACCCGGATGAGGTCTGGAGGTCTGCTGAAATCATCAAGGATTATAAGGAGGGAGACACAGTGCTGCATCTCAAATTAGAAGATGAATCGGTGAGTGAAAACTTTCCTCTTTGTTCACCTTATCAGATGTTTACTGTACATACAATGTTTTTTTATGTGTTTATTACACATTAGGAGCCCTATCATACAGTCGGTGCATTAAGGCGCAAGATATTTTCATGATTTGTTGCTATTTTCACACCAGAGCAACCCTAATTTTCACATTTTACGCCATGTTGTTTAAATAGCAAATCTATTTGTTCCACTTTGTGGACTCATGGGTGTTCCAGTCTAAAAAGGAGGTGTGTTAAGGCACTTTTATCAGTTTATTTATGACAATTTGCATTTGTATAATGTTATTATTATTAGCAGTATTATTTATTATATGCATATTTATATATTTTTTAAATAAAAACAAGTTTAGATTTGTCCACCTATCTGGTTTTTCAGACATGTGTCACCATGTGAGGCATAAGAATATGACGTGTGTTTGGATATAACTGTTTTTTGACAACACTTCGTAATTATTGTTTATTTATTTGTTTGCTGGAGATTAAAACTGAATTTAGAAATAGTTTTGAATCAAATCTTTGCATTTAACAAACTACATTAAATATGTAGGCTAATGGATGTCTTCAATGGAGTGAATTGCACCATTTCTTTACTCCACGAAAGTAAAGAAGCAAAGTAAAAATAAATTAAAGATGCCGAATGGAGGAGGCTTGTTCTTTATCCTTGCACTGCAGATGATCTGTTTAACTGTTTTCTTCCTAGTGAAGCATTCTATTTTTCCGCTTACAAAGTCTGCCATGTAAATAACAAATCTGCATGGTGCGATGCAACTGACTCTTAAGGAATGAGAGATGAGACTCTGATTGGTTTAATGCTCAAAACACACCCATAACTCATTGAGAGAATAAGTACAACCATGTTTGACCGTATGCCAGGACGCAAACCGTATTTTTCTGTCGTTAAAATTGCAATAGTGGATTTGTACACACTGCTTTTGCGCCATATACTTTACACTTTGCGCCTAGATCATTAAAATACAGCTGTGGGGCTGCACAATACATCGTTTCAGTATCTATATCACTACGTGCACATCCAAAATAATTACATCAAAGGAATGTTGAGTTTATATGTTGGAATTATAGTTTACCAGGAGCCACAGTTCAGACCACATGAGACTTTTGGAGTAACTGAAGAGTTTAAATGCAGTCAAAAATTACTATTTGCATGTGTTTTGAAGGCTTGTGACTGTGTAAGCATTCAGGCATGAGATTTTAAAGTATTTAGGCACATGAAATTGGTGTACTGTTTGTAACTCTAATAAACATGTAGTTATTGAATTATTTAAACAATAAAGAATATACAGTGTTATTTTTCATTTTATTATTGAATTTATGTATCTAAATACTGTGATGTAAAATATTTCACTCCTATCTTCCCAATTATAATCCAGAATAGCCCCCATAATCTTCCAGAAAAATCTCAGAATAATCAGTCTACATTTAACAATTCTATTCAAATAGAGCTATTTAGGCTATCTGGTGAAGTTGTATTTATATTGCAATATAAAATGCAGCAAAAAAATATATGACTTAGTCAAGTTTTTCCAATATCATGCAGCCCTATTTCACATTATTTGTTTTACAAAGTGTAGAAATCAGAAATTAGAGGTTATTTATAGTGGTTATTTTTCATATCTAGCATGAACTTCACTCGATATAGTGGATATCTTGGTAATTATGTACCTTTAATTAAAAAACCTTCAGACAGATTCTTTGAAAATGTATAAATAATTTTGATACAATAAATATTATAGTAGTGTATGTTTATTTTAGTATTTTTGCAGCCATAATATTTCATAATTTAACATTGAAAGTCTGGGTCTGCGCTGATGCAAAAAAAGACTTAATATATTTTAAGACCATGTGAATTTGAGCAGTTTCAGTAATGTTCTACTGAAAAAAGTCACCTACATCTTGGATGGCCTGTGTGTGAGTAAATCAACAGCAGGTTTTGCTATTTTTGGAGAACTGTACTTCAAAGAATGAACTCGCATGTCACAAAAATGTCTGTGCTTCCTATCTGGGCATAGCTAAAATATTTCATTCAGTTAAAACTGGATTGGTTGGTGGCATTTGGCAAACAGAACTATACTGTGTTTAATCATTCATGACACAGCAGTTGTGAATTAAACCAGATCTTAACTAGATCGTAATGCTTCCTGCATTAGTTCGGGTTTCACTGCTCTAAAGAAAGTGTGTCTAATGAATCATTAACCATGTTTTGGTGTGTAAGATGTGCAGTCTCTCAGAGAGATGACTGTACTGCATATTCTCTAGTGTATTATCAAAAACAATGTTGGGGAAACCTGAATAAACCAGTAGATGAAACTCTCTGTTGCATGTAATGTATTTCCAACACTTCAGAAAGTTTCGTCAGATTGTGATTTGAGTCCGGTCAGTTTCTAAAGTACTGTTTCTGGCATTGCTGTCTCTGTTGATAGACGTTAGAATATCCAATTGGTTCCAAAGACAATCCGCTTCCATTTCTCCGGAATCCCGATATCCTGGTAGGAGAGAATGACCTCACGGCTCTCAGTTACCTCCATGAGCCTGCTGTGCTCCACAACCTCAAGGTCCGCTTCCTCGAGTCCAACCACATCTACACCTATTGTGGTAAGTCATGCTGTACGTCAATGTCTCTGATTGAATGTGGTGTTGAGCAGATATATGGGTTAAGCTTTGAGAATTTTGGCTGATTATGAGAGATACATAAAATGTAGTTACTGACAATGGCTTAGGTTGCATTTACAGTACACTGCAACTCTAAGGCATGCAGTGACACACAGTCATATCATTTGCTGAACAGATCCAGCCTTTTTGACGCTCATAAATGTTCATGAAAGTCATTGTGCTGCATGTATTAGGAGGTTTGCTGAAGGTGTAGCTGTCATGCAGTAAGGGGTTTGCATCTTTAATAAACTATGACAGTTCGCGTTACTTAAAAAGTACGAATGATTAATAAATCCATATGAAACAGTCTCTTAAAAGTGATGTTGTGTTGCTCTCACACTACAAGCGTACCATGCCAAAGTCCAACCGATCTGTGCTCGGTTGAGGGTCTAACGTTTCTGGGCACGGTTCAGATATCCTAGTGTGAGTACACCCTTAAAGGAAAACTTTACTTTTTTTTGGAAATAGGAAACTCGCCTAGAGTAAGTAAGTAGGTTAAGTTTTACCCTTTTTATATCCTGTCATTCGATCTCCAGGCCTGGTGGGAACACTTTTAGCTTAGCTTATCATAAATCATTAAATCAAATTAGATCATTAGCATCTTGCTAAAAAAAATTCAGAAAGAGTTCGGATCATTTCCCCTTAAACCTTCAAAGACTATTCTATAGTTACAACATCTCAATTGAATATATAGTTTTGATATTTATTTAATTTTTATTTCTGATAATATTCTGTATTTTATGTATCATTTAATATTTAGTTTTTGGTGATTTTTAGTAAATGCATTTAAAATTTGATTAAGCAATTTTATGTAGGCTCTGGCGACGCAGTGGCGCAGTAGGTAGTACTGTTGCCTTACAGCAAGACGAACGCTAGTTCGAGCCTCGGCTGGGTCAGTTGGCGTTTATGTGTGAAGTTTGCATGTTCTCCCTTCGTTCACGTGGGTTTCCTCCGTCTGCTCCGGTTTCTTCCACTGTCCAAAGACACGCGGTACAGGTGAATTGGATAAGCTAAAATTGTCTGTAGTGTATGGATGTTTGCCAGATATGGGTTGTGACTGGAAGGGCATCCGCTGAGTAAAAACCTGCTCGAGAAGTTGGCGGTTCATTCCGCTGTGGCAATACCGGATTAATAAAGGGACTAAGCTGAAAAGAAAATGAATGAATGTAGGCTCTGTCTTCTTTTCATGGCTCACAATAGCAGTAAAAAACAAAAAACAACTGAGGTGTGTGTGCGCGCGCGTGTGTGTGTGTATATATATATATATACACAGTTGAAGTCAGAATTATTAGCCCCCTTTAGATTTTTTTTTCCAAATAATGTTTAACAGAGCAAGGAAATTTTCACAGTATGTCTGATAATATTTTTAAGGAGAAAGTGTTATTTGTTTTATTTTGGCTAGAATAAAAGCAGATTTCACTTTTTAAAAACTTTTAAGGACAAAATGTCTTAGCCCCTTTAAGCTATATATGTTTTCAATAGTCTACAGAATAAACCATTGTTATAAAATGACTTGCCTAATTAACCTGCCTAGTTAACCTATAACCTAGTTCAGCCTTTAAATGTCACTTTAAGCTGTATAGAAGTGTCTTGAAAAATATCTAGTAAAGTATTATTTACTGTCATCATGGTAAAAATAAAATAAATCAGTTATTATACATGAGTTATTAAAATTATTATATTTAGAAATGTGTTAAAAAAATCTTCTCTTTGTTAAACAGAAATTGGGGACAGAAAATAAACTGGGGAGCTAATAACTCTGACTTCAACTGTATATTTTTTCTGCATATATATATATATATATATATATATATATATATATATATATATATATATATATATATATATATATATATATATATATATATATATATATATATACATATATACATAGATACATACATTTGATGCAAAACTAAAGATATATATATATAAAGAGAGAGAGAGAGAGAGAGAGAGAGAGAGAGAGAGAGAGTTGTTTGTTTTTATATATTTTATTGTATAAGGTAAAAAAATATATATTTCAAAAAATCTGGAAAATAAAAAAGTTTAAATATAAGTATTTGACCCCAATACAGTTTGCATCAAATTAATTAATTGTAGCGAAGATCTACAGTAGTTTTAGCTTATTTTCTTCATTGTTCTTGTTTTAAAACAGATTTTCTCCTGTTTTTAATGACTTCTAGCTCTCGGTCTCTGTGCACTTTTTGCAAATTCTGCAAACCAGCTGTAAAGCTTGATGCTGGGTATCCAGGGTCAACAGACTTTATTGAAGAGGAACAAAGACAGCATCTCTGTTTAGTCTACAGTCATTACCCTCAGTTTCTCTGTTAGTTACTATGTTCCTATGACAACATCCCCTTGTTAACAGGTGGCATTTTGGGATTGCGTTGGATTTATGGGTGTGTGTGTTTACTGACAAGTTGTTCTGGAGAATAAGACATATTATGTAATGTATGATTGAATCCAAACAAACTTCCTGACGTGTCCTCGCAGACAATCAGGAAGAGCGTCTCTACTGTTTAAATACACCTACACCATGGTCATATGGTCAGATTTTTGTGGTGGAGTCTAAGGACCGCCCAGCTGTTGTTTGTCTTTTTATTGTTGTGCTTTTGTAATGACTCAGTGATTCTCATTATGGTGTCTGCCAGGTCATAACAAAGGCCGTTGCTTCATAATTCCTCTTTATGCTTTTTATGCCTTTCATGTTCTTTTGTACTGCCACATACGTGTGTCTGTGTTGTGTTCTGTCTTTGACACTGACACATCATGCATTAACGTGATTATGATTGCAGTGACATCACTTGAGGATTGAAGCCACCTTATATTTTAGATCTCCAACAGACATTTTAAAATACTTTTGAATTGATTTGTCCATTATTTATCCATATTCATATTGGATAAATAATTTCAAATATTTAAATGATGTATTAAGGTATGACTCTGCGGGTGGAAAGAGTCAAAATTAATTAATAGTTATCAGAACTCTTCCTCAGTTGATTAAGCTAAGAATTATTAATTTTTTGTATTACAAGATTTCTGAAATGTTATGTTTAACGTTATGTTATGCAAATTAGTTTTCATTGTTTGCATACTTTTCTTTGAGGTAACACTTTAATTTTAAAACCAATTCCCATTATTAACTACTGGGTTTATTAATATGATAATAATAAATTCCTATTAGTAAGATATTGGTTTTTATTCATACTTAAAAAAAAAGTATTATAGAGGATTGTTATTCTACATTCCTAATCCTACCCAATACCTACATTTTATATTACTATATTACCATTAATACACAATAAATTAGCAGTGGCGCAGTAGGTAGTGCTGTCGCCTCACAGCAAGAAGGTCGCGGGTTCGAGCCTCGGCTCAGTTGGCGTTTCTGTGTGGAGTTTCCATGTTCTCCCTACGTTCGCGTGGGTTTCCTCTGGGTGCTCTGGTTTCCCCCACAGTCCAAAGACGTGCGGTACAGGTGAATTGGGTAGGCTAAATTGTAAACCGTAGTGTATGAGTGTGTGTGGATGTTTCCCAGAAACGGGTTGCGGCTGGAAGGGCATCCGCTGTGTAAAAATGTGCTGGATAAGTTGCCGGTTCATTCCGCTGTGGCGACCCCGGACTAATAAAGGGACTAAGCCGACAAGAAAGTAAATAAATGAATGAATAGTACTTTTCTTACATAAAAAGCAACTCAAAGTGCTTCATAAGTGTAAGCAAATATTAAAAACAACATAAACCTTTGGGTACTCAAATATAGAAACAGATATAAGCAAATGCAGAAAATATAAACATAAAACAAATGTAAGATGATACTTAGAATAAAAATAGAGACAACTTAAATAAGCAAATTAATACATACATATGCTTAATTTATCTATATGCACACTCTATGTATACACACGCATACATATACATATGACATTAATATAATAGTTTGTTAATTGCAAGTATTGTACCTTAAAATAAGACCAAATCTGAATATCAGTTAAAGTCAGGTTCAGAATTCAGAATTCAGGTTCAGTTCAGAATATTAGAGTGAACTGTTTTTCCCGAGGTGATTTTAGGTGTCCCTTTTCATCATTGCATTATAAAATACTGCAAACATCCAAAAAAATTACATTTATTTATACAATTAAATAATGTGTCAACACATTACTCTGTAAAAGCATTTAGAACACTGATATGAATAAAATTGTGATATCTGTATGTAAGTGCTGCTGAAATCCATATTTATGGCTTAATGTAGGAGAAAAAAAATATTTTGAGAAAACGGCTCCTAAAAATATGTTTTGTCTGGAAATTTCATCATAAATATCAGCCATTACCGATTAGGCACGGGCCGTATCTTACTCATACCTAAGGAACGGTATAGTAAAAAATTTCAACAGTTTAAAAACTTGACTTTTCCAAACCGGGGTGTACATTAAACACAGTTACAGTTACAGTTACACTTTGGGTGTATTTCAAAACTAGATAAATGCACCATATAAATACACATTACATTACATAAACTGAAAAGGTGTGATGAAAAAAAAGTGTATTGTGGATGCTTTTTTTCTGTCAAACTAAAAAAACTCCAAAATCTCCAAATTGACAGGTGCATAAAAATAACAGCGTTTTGGCCAGTAGTGTATTTTTTTAACAATGCTGCAAAGCTGTGAATTGAAAAACTGTTAATTTTTTCCCCTCAGGGATTGTTCTGGTGGCCATCAACCCGTACGAGCAGCTACATATCTATGGAGAAGAAGTCATCAATGCATACAGCGGGCAGAACATGGGGGACATGGACCCTCATATATTTGCGGTGGCCGAGGAAGCTTTTAAACAGATGGCCAGGTGTGAGCTAGCTTTTTTATAATCTTGCAAAATGACAAGCTCATTTAAATAAATAGAAAAATTTATAAATATTCAGAGTGCTAAAAAGCCATTTTAATCCACCCTCCTCACTCCTCACTGACAAAACCAAAATCACAATAAGTATTTCTGGATCCTATAATTGGATAATAATGCATTTAATTAAATAAAATATTTATTTTATAAGTAAATATATTTATATAATTTTTAAAAATGTATAATAATTAGTTCCTAGTGTACAACTGAAAGGTAAAATTTTTGGGGTCAGTTTTTTTTTTACTTTTACTAATTAATACCTTTATTCAGGAAGAATGCATAATATTCATTAAAAGTAGCAGTATAGACTGCAAAGATGTTATCGCCTCGAAGAGCTTAAGAAACTACTTTCAGAAGCTAACCCTGAAACTTTTGAATGGTACATTTAAAATATTTCTATGTTATATTTTCTATTTCTTTTGGATCACAATAATTCTAATCGTCTCATAAATTAATTATCTTAATGTGTCCATCTGCATTTCAGTCTTTCTTCTAAAGAAACATCTTAAAGCTGAATCTTAAAGCTGTTTATTAAGCGATGTTGCCTTTTAATAAAGAGCTCTGCTTTTAGAGCAGTGACTTCCACTGGCTGTAAACAGAAAGTGACATCACACACTTTTAAAGCTGTAAGTAATCCAAAATCTCAGCTTGACTCAGTAATGGATGGAGTGGGTGAATAATTGCAGTGTACGCAGCATCATTCCTCCATCCTTTGTATTTACATGTGTTTTTTTTCTTTTTGGTGCTTGAAACAAAAGACAAAGCCATTTGCGCGTCAGGATTAAACTCGAGCTAAACATCCTACGCCTAGTTATTGTGACTCTTAATGACTTGTGCAATGCTGGAGTCCTGAAATAAGCAGGAAAAGACGAGGCAAGGCTTGTGGTCTGACTCTGTGTGTTTGATTAGTTGTTTAGGTGGGGTTTGCACTTGTCAGTTAGCCTGAATGGACATGTCAATTATTCAGGAGTGTGTCGAAGAGGCCCACCACTGCGTTTAGGTTTTCCTGTGAAAGCTCTCATGGGTAATGGGTGTTTATTTTGTGTGGAATGCATTGCATAAAGACTTTTCGGGCCTATAATACACCCAATGCAATAAGGTGCAAGACGTGTATGGCATGATTTGTTGCTATTTTCAGACCAGCGCAACCATAATTTTTAGGTTTTGCGCCACATAGTTTTGGGGACTCTAGGGTGTGGTGGTCTAAAAAGTTGCCGCGTTGTTATTTGGAGCAACTGAAATAGACTAAAAGCAATTAAAAGACTAAAATCAACTAAAAGCAAGTTCAGCGCAGAGCATGTTAGTTATGCACCTAGCAGGTCTAAATGTTTACACATTGCTTAATACACAAAGGATGAAGTTGAGCATTGTGTAGATCGGGTTGGTTCTGCTGCATTTGTAAAGAAACTGGATCTTTTAAAGGGTTATTGGCAGGTGCCTTTAACTCAGCACGCTGTTAAGATTTCAGCGTTCGTTAGTTGGTCAGACAACTTTCTGCAGTATGCGGTTTTAGCCTTCAGGATGCGAAACGTCCCTGGTGGTTAAACTCAGGTGGCATCAATCTGTAAACAAAAGAAATCAGGAAACAGAAAAAAAATGCAATATAGAAAGAAAACTAGAACAGTCACGGGACGTAACACAATACACAAATATCTTTACATATGAAAAAAAAAATAAAGGATTAAAATGGTACAAAAATGATTATTTTCAACATAAATATAAAAACCACTGTCTCCATGCCTTCTTCAGCTCGGAGGGCTTTTTCAGTTTATTCATGACAATTTGCATTTGTTTAATGTTATTATCATTAGCAGTATTATTTATTATATGCATATTTATATTTGTTTTAATAAAAACAAGTTTAGGTTTGTCTACCTGTCGGGTTTAAGCATAAGAATAGGATGTGAGTTTGGACGTGTGTTTTTTGACCATACTTTGAAATTATTGTTCATTTATTTGTTTGCTTAAAATTAGAACTGAATTTAGAAACAGTTTTGAAACAAATCTTTACACTTAAAAAACTAAATTAAATATTTACAGTAGGCTAATGGGTATCTTCAGTGGAGTGCGTTAAATAACGTTTCCTTATTCACTAAAGTAAAGGAGTAAAGAGTAAAAGTTAAAGTAAGAAGAAAGTAAAGAGGCCATTTGGAGGAGGCTCATTCTTTATCCTCACACTGCAGATGATCTGTTTAACTGTTTTCTCGCAAGTGAAGCATTTCGTTTTTCTATTTACTAAGTCTGCCATGTAAATAGCAAATGTGCCATGGGAATGGGAATATGAGATATCACTCTGTGTAGTTTTATGCACGTTATGCTTAAAACACACCCATAACTCATTAAGAGAATAAGCACAACCCTGTTAGACCTTGCGACAGGGCGCTAACTGTATTTTTCTGTCCTTAAAATAGCAAAAGTGGATTCGGACATGCCTTTAATGCTTTTGCGCCATGCGCTTTACACTTTGCACCTAGATCATTAAAATAGAGCTCATTGTTACAGATGGTCCAGTGGGGACTGGGTGGGTTTTTGATTAGAGATTTCAGAGTTAAAAGAGGTTTTAAAGTGCAAGTCAGTGGCTATTAAATTGCGCCTTTAAGTCATATTTTTTTATAATAAAGACATGATAAACTCTTGTACTCAACATCCACTTGGGTAAGTCATTGGGTGCAATAGCATACGAATTTTACACCTGCTTTTTTCTTTTTGCTATTTTTTTTTTACTATTCACTGCAAAATGTTCCTGATCCTTGCATTTATTGTAACATTTAATCAACATTAAAAAAAATGTTTTAATTTGTAAACCATGTATTAATCATTAATAATAATCATTATATTATAATATAGTATTTATTTTTTAATATAAAAGATTTATTTGTAAATTATATATTTATTTATTTATTTAATTATATATTTTGTTTAAAATATTTTTAAAATCATTTTTATTTCACATTAAAAAATGTAGCTAAATCATTTAGAATATATTGTTTTTGGTGTATGTCTTTTAGATATATTGTGTTACAATTCACAACATTCATGGCTAGGTTTGACATGACACAGAGGTGTCAAAGTTTGGTAAATTTTTGATACAACAAAAAGAAAAAAATATTGATTTTTAAAGAAAAAAACATTTATTAAAACTAAGATTATAAAACATGATAGATCTATGATGGAGCTATACTTGACCCATCTTCTGGGGTGTCTTATTATTATTAAAGAATGTCTTGTTGAGCATAGTGGCACAGAGAATCCTATAATTTATTCAGTTTGAGCTCTTTGTCTTTCAAATATGGATTAATGTACCATTAATGGTGTACCATTACACACCTTATGTTTATATAGTTTTTTGTGTGTATTTTACATTAGTTTTTTTAGACACACTTTATTTGAATTTGTTATGTATGTATTTGTAAATACATGTTGCTAAAAATATTTATCACCTTTTTTAAATTAGTTGCTTTTGTTTTCACACAGGTTTTTTTGGGCCATGTTTATGTTATTCGGATTGTTTCATACTTGCATACCAAATAAAACAATCACATTGTCTGGGGCTTGTAAAACAGTTCATATGAATCAAATATGTTTCATATTCTTCTTTATTCTGCATCTAAATAGTTAAATGCACTTTAGCATATCATATCATCTCAAGTATTCATCAGCGCACAGTCTTCATTACTGTTTCTGCTTGTAAACTTGACATTTCTCCTGCAGAGATGAGAAGAACCAGTCCATAATTGTGAGCGGTGAGTCGGGAGCTGGTAAAACCGTTTCGGCAAAGTATGCCATGCGCTTCTTCGCCACAGTGGGAGGATCAGCAAATGACACCAATGTTGAAGAGAAAGTTTTGGCTTCCAGTCCCATTATGGAGGTATGCTCTGATACAAATCCTCTAATTCAAGTAATTCTACTGAGAAAAAAAACACCCAAGTCAGTCTTCGTCAATCAGACAAGAACTTTACTTCACAAGAATACTTAGTGTTGAATCTAATGAATTTGTGCCACCAAGTACTACTATTATGTGCAGAGGCTGTAAAGGTGCCCTCGATTCACTCATCGCTCCGTCTCTGACACACTTAAATTAGGAAATTAAACTGAAGAATCACCAGGCCTGTTTGAAAAGATAAGAATGAAGCCGGCATGTGTGCCCTTCAGGAAGATAATCTGTGTGCAAGTGAGAGTGGCCAAATCTCACAGTCAATTTAGAGATAGCACTATAGCGGAAATGAGCACTGGCGATAGAGACGCCTCTTGGGATGCAAACTGAGAGCTAGAACGTCCTATTACTACAGGTGACTCATAACATACCAGCTCAGACAAACAAATAATCCCAAATCACAGTAATTATTCATTACAAATGATGTCGCAAACAGGATTCAAGGTTTACGGCTCTTGCACCTTCTGTTGTGAAAATCTTTCTCCACCCTTATTGCATTCTATTATGCATCAATCATTGTAATTTGATAAGCTGCTGTCCCAGTTTAAACCAACCAAAGTGTGACTAGACTGTAATTAAAGTTTTTTTTTTTTCAATGTAGGCCATTGGAAATGCAAAAACAACCCGTAATGACAACAGCAGCCGTTTTGGGAAATACATCCAGATCGGCTTTGACAGGAGATATCATATTATTGGTGCCAATATGAGAACGTACCTGCTTGAGAAGTCCAGAGTAGTGTTTCAGGTGAGTTTCACTTAGAAAGGATGCTTTAAGGCCATTTTCAGCCCACTGTGCATGTCTGTGTGCTAAACATTGATATATCGTTGCAGGCTGAAGAGGAGAGGAACTACCACATCTTCTACCAGCTCTGTGCTTCATGCTCTCTGCCAGAGTTTAAGGATCTTACCTTGAGTAAGTGGCAAATGTTTTAGAGATATGCAGATTAGCTGTAAAAGTGAATCTGGAATGGCTGACACTTGCCTTTGGTGGTTTAAATTGTCTCTTTAGAACTAGACACAGATTACAGTGTTTATACGACACTTCATAAGACATTCTGCAAGATGGCAAATGTGCAGTGACCAAAAGAGCTTATCATACTGAAGTTTAAGACAACATGTAGTTACAAAAAAACACTAGTAAATTAAGAAAAGATCTTCAAATCGTCATAACAGAAACACATTAAGAAAACACACTGCAAATGCTCACAACGCAAACAAATTATGTTGCCCAATACCGCATCATCTTGGAAATTACAGATACAAGTCCTGCACAGTGGCCAGAGGGATTTTGAGCCATTCTTCATGCAGAATAAGGGCTAGGTCACTAGGTGATGCAGATGGAGAAACACTTTTCCTGACTTGCTCCTCCAAAACACCCCAAAGAGGCTTAATAATAATATTTAGATCTAGTGACTGTTAAGCCCATGGCAGATGTTCAACTTCACTTTCATGTTCATCAAACTACTCTGTCACCAGTCTTGCTGTGTGTATTAGTACATTATCATCCTGATATACGGCACTGTCTTCAGGATACAACGTTTGAACCATTAGGTGCACATGGTCAGTGATGCACCCATCTAGGACAAGTATTGGGCCTAGGGAATGCCATGATATTGCAGCCTAAAGCATCACTGATCCACCCCCATACTTTGCTCAGGGCATGTAACAGTCTGGTTGGTACGCTTTTTTGGGGCTTCTCCACATCATAACTCTGGATGTGTGAAAGTCAGTAAAGCTGGAATCATCAGAGAACAAGGTCATACTTTACTTTGATGGTCCATTTGTTGAATTGAAGTTACATTGCATCTACAGTACATGCCAACTAATTCTCATTAGATTATAAGTAGACTGTTAGGTTGGGATTTGGGTTAGTGTAAGTTGACATGTACTTTCAAAGTTTCTTATAGTCAGTTAAATGTCTGTTGAAGGAGCAGTATCAATAGATATTAAGCAGACAGTCTACTAAAACTACTAATAAGTGTTACCGAGAACAATAAATGTTTCACATTGTCCACAGCCCAAGAATTTTGCTGCTGAAACCATTGTAACTGACGTTTGGCATTGGCACGAGTGGCAAGAGGTTTGGCAATAGCAACCCGGCCATGTACATCGACCCTGTGGAGTTCCCGAAGAGCAGTTTTGGTAGAAACAGTAGAGTTGAGGTGCACATTTAAGTCACCCAGAATGTTGTGTGCATTAAAATATTACAAGCAAAACTGTGTCATAACTCTGCCGATTAAACCTTCACACTCAACTCTTACTGGTGGAATATGCAATCAATGAAGATCAATAAATGCCACCAGGCTGGTCAAATTTAGGCATAAAACCTCCCAACACTAAATTAGCCATTGTTTTAGTTTCCTTGTCCAAACCTTGTATACTAATGTTGTCACAATACTGGAATTTCTAACTTCAATAAAATAGCTTAAAATGTATTGATACTCTGTGCCATAGGGGAATATTACCTAATTATATCATTTATTTATACAATTGCTTAAATATAGCATTTCCCAGAATTATAACTAGACCTGCATGTCTTTTCTTGTCAGGACCGTTTTTCAGATTTTCATGTGCCCTACTAAATTTCCTCAGGTCCATGTGAAAAATAATAAATAAGGGCATGAAAGAAAAAGTTGTTTTTGTTGTTGCAAACAATGTACCATTACAATATATGCAAATTGTATCATTTTTAATAATTCTAGTAGGTGTCATTACTGCATAAAATGTATATTTTATAGTTTTATATATTTCAGTATCGAATCGATACCTATAGAAATATCAGTTATTTTGACAACACTAACATATTTAAGTCATGTTTTTTATTATATTTTAAATAATAATTTTGGCCTGTGATGGCAAAGCTGAATTTCTGGATCATTACTTATTGCCTATTTTATTATTGCCTGCTTGTTTTGCACACACAAAGGTTCGAATGAACTACATAATCAAACTAAACCTACTGTACCAAATATAAACACACCCAAATCCTTCTTTTTCAAACTTCTCACTCACTCTCATGTTTTAGCCAGTGCAGAAGACTTCACTTACACGTCTCTCGGTGAGAACATTTTCATTGAGGGAGTGAATGATGCCGAGGACCTTGTGAAGACGAGAGAAGCTCTTACGATGCTTGGTGAGTTTGACTGCAGCAGCAAACATGACTATTAGCTTTTGCAGCGCTATAGTTTGGCATAAATATTTATCATGCTGACACTGTGTTGTGCAGGTGTAAAAGAAAACCACCAAATGAGCATCTTTAAGATAATTGCCTCCATTTTGCACCTGGGGAACGTGGAGATTGTGCAGGAGAGAGATGGAGAATCCTGCCATATCAATGTGAGTGCACAGCAAATAATGCTATTGTAAATCAGTCCATTAAGGGTTTTCACAGGAAAAATTTAATACGATTTTTTGAAACTTAAGTGATTAATTATGGGGAAAGTTTTAGCTGTTTAGTTTAGGAAAACCTATATATATATATATATATATATATATATACATAGGTTTTCCTATATATATATTGAGGGGTTTTCCCCTCAAGTCTACAGACATATGCTACAGGTGAATTGGGTAAACTAAACTGTCCGCAGTGTGTGTGTGTGTGTGTGTGTGAATGAGACTGAATGGCTGTTTCCCAGTGATGGGTTGCAGCTGGAAGGGCATCCTCTGCTTAAAACATATGCTGGATAAGTTGGTGGTTCATTCCGCTGTGGCGACTCCTGATTAATAACGGGACTGAGCCGAAAAGAAAATGAATGAATAAAGAAGCATTCTAAAGTCGGTGACACTGCTGACATTATCTTAAAGGGTCACAAAACACCAAAACACATTTTTTGAGCTGTTGACAGTCATATATGTGTCCCACACTGCTAAAAACACTATTAGGACACCTATATTTCACTAAAAAGTGTAAATTGGTTGTTTTTGCGTTATTTCAAGCAAATTCGTACTACCGGTTTGAAACGAATTTTTGAAGCTGCGTCACGGCCATGACATAATAGCGTTGTATTCCAGCATGCAGACTGGGCGTCTGTGCCAGAGTGAGTTTTATTACGTCTTACAGTGTGATGCATTAATGCATGAGTAAGGCTTGGTTCAAACCAATCAGCGCGCTCTATTGTGCAACTTCATTAATATTCATTACTGTCACAGTGTAGATGGCAGAGACGCCACGTTGTGTTGGCAAAAGAAGCGTGAAGTGTTGCTTTTAGAGTTTGCTGCAGTAAAGTTTCGTTTTCATTTTCTCTCTGTGAGAGCTCAGACTCACGCGTGGATTAACAGTGTACGCAACGCGCGACAACAATAACTTACGTGTCTAAGGAGGATTATTGTTTACCTGAGAGCTGTTCTCATCTGCAAACGCTGAGATCCAGATTCGCTTTAGTCTCCTCTTAATAAAGACGCGGCTCTAGTTGCTGGTGATTGTCCTGTCTCTACAGATTTGGTAAGTGAGCGACCAGTGCTCTTTGTTTATTCAGTTCGTATTTTATTCGTATCAAACAAACTATTGCAACGAGTGTAAACAAGTTAGCACTAACAGTTACAACCAAACTATAACCTCGTGTTGGATTTTGTGACCGGAATAACACACGCGGCTTTCTGACACTACCTGCCGTGTGCATCTAAGTTTCTGGGAAATGCTGAGTTTTTTTTCTCTCATTCGCCGTGCGGTATCAAACATTGCATGAAAAATACATGCTTACAGCAGTTCCTCGAATCAAATATCACGTTTGTCGGGAGGGACATTAATGAATTCCCTGAATGAAAGAGCCAAACTGCAGTTAAAGTCCACCATTTAATAATCTGGCAAATAATTCGACTACAGATGTCCATGTAAACACAGTCACATTGTCCGCTGTGGGTGTGTGTTTTGACTCTGAAATTCAGCGCGCCCAAATAAACACTCCGATACCAAGCCTGTTTTCTTCCTCCGACACTCCCCCCTAAACAGAGCTGGACACGCCCACTTTTCTGACTTTTTCCAAAGTAGAGGTGTGAAAACACCCTGCTGAAACGAGTGGGTTTCATGGCCCTTTAAATAAAGTCTTAGGCAAATTGTAATTTGTGGTCCTCCGTGTTTAATGTGGTTTAAATGTTCAGTCCACTTACTGTATTCCTTGAGATTCTTGAAATAAAATAATTTTTACAAAATAAAAAAACTCTCTTTGGAGTGGACTTTGAGATTTATAACTATGTAGATCTTTTTATGTCTAAACATACATGCTGCACACTGTCTAAACTTTAAAAAAGTGAAAACGTATAATAGTACCACTATATCAAAGTATTGTTCATTTTGCAGAAATGTACAGTTATTACATTTACAATAAAATATGGAAGTCTCCACATTCTCTTAAACAACATCATTGGATTCTAACTTGTATTGATATTGTGTATCTGGAAATGTCTTCTCACATCCTCACATCCATGGTGCAAGAGAGCACACCATCCGACTTTAGCCACAAACTTTGAAAAACATAAAGGTTTACAAATTTGACTTGAAGAGACATCAAAAAGCAAAAAACTTTAGGTTCCAGACCCCATAATAATAATAATTATTATTATATTTTTCATAAATTAATTAATTTTTTCCCTCTTTTTTATTTTAATATGTTTTTTTTCTCTTTTCATAGTAATTGTTTAAGGTTCCCTGTTTGGGCTTCTAATAACTTTTCTTCATTGTCTTAGACCTCTTTAAGCATGGTTTTAAATATCTTAATCTTTTTGTTTATTCCTATTCTTTTATTTATTTATTTTAACTGGCTTAACCCTTTACCCTTACTTAACCTTTAATACAGATTTGGTTTGTTGCTTTTTTGGTTTGGAAATTAGTTTTATGTGTGTGTATGTGTGTATATGTGTATGTGTATATGTATATCTGAACTCTGAAAACTATACTGCACTCATTTCAATTTACTATAATATTCTTTGTGAAGCTGCTTTGAAACAATCTACATTGTAAAAGCGTTATAGAAATAAAGGTGAATTGAATGTGTATATATATATATATACATTACACATACACACACACACTTCGGACAGTTTAGTTTACCCAATTCACCTGTAGCATATGTCTGTAGACTTGAGGGGAAAACCGGAGCATCGGTAGGAAACCCAAATAAGCACAGGGAGAACATGCAAACTCAGCTGACCCAGCCGGGACTCGAACCAGTGACCTTCTTGCTGTGAGGCGACAGTGCTAGCCACTGCGCCACCACACCGCCCTAGAATGCTTTTTATTACAGTTTATTCATACAATACAATACTGCACAGTGTAGACTGTGATTTTTAGCCCCCAAAATTTGTTAATATAATGTTACCACTCTTAAAATATCTTGTGATATTCGTGCTTGGAATATTTCTGCAGAATCGTCTTGATCATTATTTTCAGGATCTCAATCGGGCTCAAATTTATATGGCAGTATTCGCGGCATGCTTAATTATACTGGAGCAGACAGAACTTACTGCTGTGGCCATAGGCGGGACAGCACTGAAACACTGTCCAAGCTATTCACCAATCACAACACACTGGGAAAGCTAACCAATCACAATACGTTTTGTATTTCAAAAGGTGTGCCTTTATTAAACCCAGAATTAACTGAGCCTTTTGTGAAAAGCAATACATTTTGCAAACCACTAAGCATGAACCACTCCAAAACAAAATCAAGACTTTGAAAGAGAGCATAATAAGACAATGGTAATTTGTGACTTCTTTAAAGCGGCTTTGAAATAAAATTTCACGAAAAGTTTAATGCAAATATATTAAATTGAACAATCTTGTTGTTTGTTATTTATTTTGCCACTTATGCATTAAACAATCTCTTTTTGCACATGCAGAGGAACGACACTCATCTGCATCATTTCTGTCGGCTGTTGGGGATTGAGCAGGAGCAGATGGAGAACTGGCTATGCCGCAGGAAACTGGTGACCACTTCTGAAACTTATGTGAAAAACATGCCCCACAGCCAGGCAGTCAATGCCCGAGATGCCTTGGCCAAACACATCTATGCCCATCTGTTTGACTGGATCGTGGAGCACATCAACAAGTCCCTGCATACTTCCACTAAACAGCACTCATTCATCGGGGTTCTGGATATCTATGGGTAATTATTGTGATTATTAGACAGCATGGTAGTGAAGATTGGGGCTGGGCAAAAAAAATACATTTAAATTTTTTAAGTGAGTAGATTCGAAATTGATTTTCTTAAAGCCATTATTCAAATAATAATTGTAAATCAATTCATCTTTTTTTAAAAGTGAGTGGATTCGGTATTGCATTTTATTTCTGGTCCAGGTGTTTTCTAAGTAAGAAAATACTTCTCTGTTGTACCTTATGGCCCGTTTCCACTGACTGGTACAGTACAGTACAGTACAGTACGGGTCACCTTTATCAGGCTTGCATTTCCACTGCCTAAAGTGTACCAATGGTACTTATTTGGTGGGCGTGGTGCATGACAGAAAGTTTCAGTTGACGTCATTCTCGCTCGAGAAAATCTTGCTCAAAGTAAAGCTGTACAGATCTTTCACATTGTACGTGAAGCACTTCTCACAAAACAGAGGCTTTATACACATAAATACTTGTGTATAAATGTTCATTACTAACTTTTTATGAACACAGTTTGGTTATAACTGCAGATCAATGAAATAGCCCAATGTAAAGTCTGCAATTATATGAAATAAATAAATAAATGCAACATAAATGAACACATACAGCCCCTTACAGTGTCCAATATTACCAATTACAGAAAAACTACACGCAACAAACATTTAGTTCTTTTTTGGGTTCAAAAACAACACGCAACATTAAACCTTGTCAGTGCAAACCTCTCATCTGTATCTTTAATCTTCACCAGCACATGTAAACTCTGTTAAAAAGTCCAACAGGTGATGATAATAGTTCAACGTGGCAGTTTGTTTGTTCATGGTTTAGGTTGCCGAAAGAATCATTTGCTCCTTTGTTTTTTTCAGCTTCTCAGCTTCATTTTTTAAAGTAGCACCCTAATAATACACAGTTTAAGCCGATATTACTAATCAAAGAATGAAAGAAAACATTTTAACTAGTCTTGGCTTGAGATAATTATATGTACAATTTATTTGTACTTGTAAAATCTAGAGTTTGAATACCTGTAGATATATAAATGTATGTCTGGATTCATTTCAGATGCATGGGTACATATAAATAGAACAAGTATCATATGCATATCATAAGGCCTAATAACAATATTATAATAATATATACATAGTACCACTGATAAATTTTATATTATGTCTTATTTCATGCATCTTATTTCATACATTTTAAGGTACCAATGCACCTTTAATAAATCTAATCAAGATCTTGTGAATCAAAATCAAAATTATATTTGGACATAATAAATATGGAAAATGAATAAATAACCTGGCCTATTAAAGATTTTGAAACGTTTTGAGTTCCTACAGTATATACAGTAGAGTAATGTGTCTCTGAGGGCAACAGGAGACTGTCTTTTGTGATTTGACCCTCTATTAGCTGTTTGTAGAGTCAGCATTTGCCTTGGAGCCTTTCTGACCATGGGACTAATTACTTCCTCACAGAAGAGAAATTATCGATCACCATTAGAGTAAATAAGCGGAGAAGTGCCATGATATAAGATGCAGAGAAAAGTTTGGAAGGTTTGGTTTGTTTTTTTTTTCAGAGAAATCTGAAGGATTTTGAATGCTGTTATTGAATTCATCTTTCAACAGGTTTGAAACATTTGAGATCAACAGCTTTGAGCAGTTCTGTATTAACTACGCCAATGAGAAGCTACAGCAGCAATTCAACTCGGTCAGTAATAGAAGATCTCCTGATACAAATATTTATAAATCTCATATGCATTAGATATAAACATTATAAATATAATAAAAACTATACTTTAAAAGTTTATAAAAAGGTTTTTTTTAATAGTAATTTACTAAAATAATAAATCATTTTAATTATTTAATTAATATAAAATATTTTCCAACAATTTTATGTTAAATTTATGTTAAAATGTATATATTCATAAAATATTGTTTTAACAAAAATATTTCTGTCTTTTTTATATAATTTATAATTGCATAAAAAGTTATATATAAATAATTTGGTAAATAATATTTTTTTTAAATATTTTTTTAAGTGTCATGAATTTTCATCAACTTATAAATGAGCAGCATCTCATTCAGTTTTAAACTCTTGTCCCTCTTCAAAGTCCCTATATATTAATTATATCAGTATTAGCACATTTTTAAATAATTATTATTAGGAAATACTGTACTTTCTACTATTTTCACATATTCTCAAAAATTATATATTATTAGATATTAGATATTATTAAATATAAAATGAACCCCTTGTTAAAGCTGTAAAAATGCTGGGTTCCACACAATTCCTTTGTTGACACAACTCAAATTGATTAATTAACTTATCCATTTTACAAGTTTAAATTATTTTATTTAACATAAAACAATTAAGTTGTCCCAAAAAACTTTAAGAATTGTGTTGTTTCAACTCATTTTAAATAAGTAGTTTGAACAAGCAGTAAAAGTCATTTTATCATGTCAGTGTAATATATGTCATGACTGCTGGCTGTATTTGGAGTCAAATCTAATACAGTTGGTGCATTTACTAACACATGACCATCCTCCACCCTCAGCATGTGTTTAAGCTGGAGCAAGAAGAGTACATGAAGGAGCAGATCCCCTGGACACTCATTGATTTCTATGATAACCAGCCGTGCATTGACCTCATTGAAGCCAAACTCGGTATCCTGGACCTTCTTGATGAAGAGTGTAAGGTAAGAAAAAGCAGTCACTGAGGAAGCGATACACAGAAATGGAGAGGCAGATCCCTGAGCAGAGCATCTCATTTAGTTTTAAACACCTCAGCCTCTTTGAAGTGCTTGAGTGAATGAATCGGCGCAGCTTCAGAAGTGTTGAACATGCTATTTCTGCTACAAGTAACCCAAATAGTGGGTTTTCAGTTTAAAGTGTTTTTCTTTTCTGCGTCTGACAGGTGCCCAAAGGAACAGATCAGAACTGGGCGCAAAAGCTGTACAGCAAGCATTCAGGCAGCGGCCATTTCGAAAAGCCCAGGATGTCCAACAAGTCCTTTATTGTTGTTCATTTTGCAGATAAGGTGGGTTCTGTTTATATTAGACAGGTGAATTTTATTTTCTGGATGGTTGTGGGATGTTATGATATTATCACCCACCACATCTGCATTTAATTTTTTTATCCTTTAGATTGTGAAAACATTCATTTTAACACATTGAGAGAACATTTGGTTAGATTAGAAATGTGACATGACTTTCGATTTTTTTTTTTTTTTTTTTTGCAGAAGTATATTTCTGTTTATAAAAATCAGCTTTAGCTTTTGCAGATTTAATTGATAAAAAATAAAATTTTATTACATTTTCTTGTCTATTGGTATTTTAAGTAATTGTCTTCTAAATAATTTTCATTTTCTTTTATTTTTCTCTAGTTTAAATTGATGTTCTGTGTTGTTTTGTGCTTTGTTTTATTTTGTATGTATATAACCAGCTTCTAATAGTAAAACAATTATTAATTTTATTTTTTATATTCACACTTCATAACAACAGTCTGCAGAAACAGTTTGATCAACATTCTCCCTCTGTAAGTGTCATCAGAGGGGAAAAGTCCCACCCATTAGTGACAATCTCTCCCTTATTAGTGTAGAAGGTTAGTCTTGTTTTTGAATCTGCCATTATGCTGACACATAGGCATTTGTAGCTCCGCCCTCTATTAATGAAAGCCTCAGAGGAGCAGTTTGAAAGAGTTATAAAACATTATTTGTGGGGTATTTCAAGCTGAAACTTCACATACACACTCTAGGGACGACTGAGACATATTTTACATCTTGTGAAAAGAAACATAATAGATCCTAAATAAATAGTTTTAACCCTTTAGCAGATCATTTTTTTCCAGGATGAAAGAAATTAACCTAGATAGGATTTTCATGCATTTTGTGGAAATGAGTTTTTTTTTATATTTATTTGTTTATTATTTTTGGTTTTGCGCAGCAGGGTTTTTAGAACAAACAGCTTCAGCTTTTGCAAAACTGCTTAATGAATCCTAACTAGTGAGGAACTTCATTATGAAACCCAGATGACGGTTAATAATGCATGATGAGTACAACAGAAATAGCTTATTCTGCTCCATGCCAGTTAGGAGTCGCTGAAATGATGTGAATGTGGTACTGATGTAGGAATTAGACTTGTGATGTTTTGTCACACCTGACAGGTTGAATATCAGTGTGACGGATTCCTGGAGAAGAACAGAGACACTGTTTATGAAGAGCAGATAAACATCCTCAAGGCCAGTAAGGTGAGAGCTGGGTTTTTTTGAGTGCGAAGCACTAAAAAAAGAAGATATTTAGTAATTATTGTTTTTATTAGTATTATTTTAGATTCTCTGCTTTCGAATATAGATATATTTAAATATACAGTCATTTTGTTGTGTTTTTGTTATTTTTATTCTTTAAAAAAGTATGAAAATGTGGTTGTTTTTATTTTAAATATGGCATTTCTTTTTTTCTTTCCAAATCCATTTATTCTTTTTAGTTTTACATATTGTTATTTGCAATAATGATAATCATACTAATTATGTCCGAGAGCTATTTTTAGTATTAACACTTTAAATAGTTTGTTTTTATATTTATTTATATTTTCAATTTAATATGATTTTATATATATATATATGTCTATAATGAACTTGTTTTTATCACAAAATCTATTATTTTATATTTGTCAATTTGCTTTAAATCCTGACAAGTTTTCAGTCACACTCAATTGCATTACACTTTCCTTTCCAGCCAAGCCTCTGTTTATTCCCTTCTTCAAGATTACCTTATTTAAATCACACTTTACCTCATGTTTTGGTTTATGGGCTTTTTAAACAGTTCATTGATTTGAAGTTTTTAGGTAAACAGAGACCTGACCTCGTCCAGACTTCTTATGACTCTAACAGTCTCAGTCCTAATAAAGCTGTTAAAGGATGTCCATTGTCTTTGTCGATATGGATTTTGCTTTATTTTTGTTTGTCTTATGGTTTCTTGGCAACATAATTTGCCGGAATCTGGGGGAAGTTGAACTGCAGACAGCAGCACCTCAGTGCCTGAATGCTAAAAATCTTCCCTGTAGGACATTGTTGAAATGCTATGGAGTTTAAAATTAAACTTTCACCGGAACACTTGTAATGAGGAACAATTTAAACATCAGTCTGTCTGAAGTGATTTCTCAAGTTTCTCTTACTTTAAACAAGTTTTCCTGTGATTCCTGGCATTTTGTCCCCCCACTGTGGTTGAAAATGTTGTGGACCTTCAAAGATGAAATGGTGAAGAAATAACTCATGAATATTAATTAGGCTGTATGCAAATACTTTATTGTGATTTGTACTGTTTTAATAAATAATCAATGTGATAACTATTATGGTTATTGTACAGTCACCACTGATGTTAGTCTTGTATAACTTGTACATATATACAAAGACAAAAAAAAAAGAAAACAAAAAAAAAAGCACAGCCTAATAGCATCAGCATCATTTTGTCCACTTACAATTTCATTGGCTTTGGAAGTAATTTATGAAAGGACACCCCATGGCTCTGAACTTGAACCTGGAACGAAATGAAGTCTTGTTTTTTTAAAAACTGAGGAAATGTAACACATCATTGGCCCACTGTTTAAATGAAGGGGAAATGATTGTCAGCCGTCTTGCCAAAAGAGGAGTATGCAATGCTGTCCAATTCATTTTTTGACAAATTGATTTTTTTCATATACAATGCCAAAGACAGCACTTAAGAGATTTGCACAAACATCTTGACAAAATGTTCTGGAGTGAGATAAAACAATTGACAAACTTATAACTTTTTAAATAAATAAATTTAAAAAATGTACAATGTAGACAAACTGTTCATTATAATGAACAGTTTATGAACACTTTATTTTTATTTTATTTTTAAATTCAGAAATAATGTAATCTGTGCCAGATATACATGGATAAATAGGAGGGATCTGAAGATTCAGTTCATTCATTCTTTTTCTTGTCGGCTTAGTCCCTTTATTAATCTGGGGTCACCACAGCGGAATGAACCGCCAACTTTTCCAGCACATTTTTACGCAGCGGATGCCCTTCCAGCCGCAACCCATCCCTGGGAAACATCCACAAACACTCATTCACACACTACAGAAAATTTTGCCTACCCAATTCACCTTTACCGCATGTCTTTGAACTGTGGGGGAAACCGGAGCACCCGGAGGAAACCCATGCGAACGCAGGGAGAACATGCAAACTCCACAAAGAAAACCCAACTGAGCCGAGGATCAAACCAGCGACCCAGCAACCTTCTTGCTGTGAGGCGACAGCACTACCTACCGCGCCACTGCTTCGCCGAATCTGAAGATTTTGATCAGTATTATGAAAAAATAACGCAAATCTGTGTTAATTTTTAAATATTTTAGTTGTATTCTTGTATTGTAAATACTGTACATATTTACTAGACTTCTCATTTATTCATTCGTTCAATCTTTCATTAGGCTTATTCCCTTTATTAATCCGGGGTCACTTCAGCATAATGAACTGCCAACTTATCCAGCACATGTTTTATGCAGCGGATGCCCTTCCAGCTGCAAACTATTACCAGGAAACATTCATACACACTTATTCACACACACACACACACTACGGACAATTCAGCTTACCCAATTCACCTATACTGGGTTTTTAGACTAGTGGGGGAAACCGGTGCACCCAGAGAAAACCCATGCCACCGCGTCACCCTTACTATTATTGTAACTAAATATTAATACTTTTATACCTACTTTTACATTTCTAGTGACTAGTGACATCCGTACTAAAAATTAAGCAAAATAACTCGATTGTAATAGTACATGCTCTAAAGCTATTTAAAAGCAGAATACTGAGTCAAAGTTTTGCTTAACTTACATAACATGATCTTGATTTAAATTAAACTCAAATGAGATTTCACAGTACTTTTCACAACCTTATTATAACGCCTGCTTATGTAAGTAATTGGATACAACAGGGATAGTATTGCTGTGCATACCTTCAATTTGAATGTAGTCTGTGGTCCAACATCTGTTTTTATCAGTGACCTCGTACAGTTCTAGTGCAACAGCATTGGTGGTTTAATGGTGTCATCTGTGTTCTATCTTAGAGGCTGAATGTTGGCAGGATTGTGGTATTAGCGATGCATTGAATTGCTCTGTGTACCTGCCTTGCGGTCGAGACTCGGGGAGTGGATTTTAAAGGGCTTCCAAAAGTGCTTTGAAGTGCTGCTGGAGTTGAATACAAATTTTAAACAAGTCTAGCTCAAATAAAAAACTGTTGGAGGTTTTACGCCTCTTATGTAAGATGTGATGCAGTTGTAATGTGACTGGAAATTCATTTTTCCTGTGAACCATATGATGATTCTTAATCAAATACAATCTTTTAATCAATGGATTTTTTTGGGTGTTTTTCTTTTCCAAATATACTTTATTTGTTTACTTATAAATAACTCTCATTTTTCTTTCTGTTTTAAATTGGTTTGTCTTATTTTGTTTGTATTTTTTCTCAATTCCAATGCTTGATTTATTTTATAACCTTGTTTTGTTTCCATTTGTTTCATTTAGATTTTTTATTTTAGTCTATTTTCAATTGTTTTGTATTTGTTTAGTTTTATTGTTGTTGTTTTATTTTTTTGCGGTGGGGGTGGGAATGGGTTGTTTTGTTTATTGTTTTTTTTTTCAGTGTTTAATTATTTTGATTTCTTTTAGGATGCGTTTATTTCTTTGTTTCATTTTGTTTGTTTTCTGTTTTTTTGTTGCATATTTTTTGTCTGAGTGTGCTTTCACACCTGTGGATTGATTCTTTTGTTTCAAAACAGAGATTAAAATTGTTACAATGTTTTTTTTTTTGTTTTTGTTTTTTTTTCTTGGTGCAGTTTGCTTTCACATGGTAAAGTTTCTAAACAGACCAAAAGAACTAAAACTCATTCAGGCGATCCCAGACCGTTTGTTTTGGTACGGATCTGAGCACTATTGCTGGATTCGCATTTGCCAAACTAACTGCGCCAACTGGGAAAGTCCGCCAGGTTCCAAAACTAAAGTCTAGGTGTGAAAAAACCCTAAAGTTGTTTTCTTTAATTCTTTTTGTCTTTGTTTTTATCGATTTTTAAATTTTATTGTTTACTTATATGTTTGTTCATGTTTGTTTGCTTTTAATTGTGTTGTGTTTTTTTTTATATGTGTTTGCATTTTGTTTGATGTTTTGTTTAATGTTTATTCACAGTTCCAGTTGGTTGCAGATCTCTTTGACGATGCTAAAGATGCTGCCCCTCATCCAGGCAGCAAAACCTCCAGAATCAATGTTCGGCCTGCCAAACCCGCTCCGAAAGGTCACAACCGGGAGCACAGGAAAACTGTGGGCACTCAGGTGAGACCAGTGGTGTAAAGTAACAAATTAGAAATACTCAAATTACTGTAATTGTGTAGTTTTTCTCAGAAAATTGTTATTTACTAAGTAGTTTTAAAAATGTGTACTTTTACTTTCCTTTAAGTACATTTTAGTGCAGAATTGGTACTTTTACTCCACTATTATCCTTCAACTGGCAGTCACTACTTAATTTTTTTCCTGTGTATGGGGATTAGAAAAATCAGTCCTGTAATTCCTGTCCAGTCAAACAGCACATAAAAAGTAAATCGCACCAAACTACCTTAAGACATGGGCGATTTATAAATTCTGCAAACTATTTGGAATTATCCAAGGAGCTGTCAAAAATCTTTACAAGCAATAGCACAGATATTGTTTGGACACTAATGAGAAGTTGACAGATGTTTACTGTATGATGACCAAACTGGCCTTAAGCAATAGATGCACTACAGATTGTTACGTGAACACACACATCCACAAATTACATAACATAATGATGAGATGAAACTTTTCTCTCCTCCACAGTTCAGAAACTCTCTGCATCTTCTGATGGAGACACTCAACGCAACCACCCCTCATTATGTTCGCTGCATTAAGCCCAATGATTATAAGGAATCCTTTGTGTAAGTTTGGTCTCTTTGTCTTCCAATAGTGATTATCTAGTTTATCTTGCCTATAAATAGAGAGGTATAGCAAATTCATTTAAGCTGCCAGAGCAAATTAGAGTCATGCTGGTACAGAGAAGTTTGATCGACCTCAGCTGCACTGTACATTTCCTCCAACAATCAAGACATCAAAGCTCCTCTGAGAAACAGCTGATCAGGTTATGTAAGTTGTTATTAGACCTAGTTTTCTCAGATCAAAATCAGTAGAAGTGAGCCCAAAATACTTGCTGATTTAACGGTTTTGTGAATGATTTTTCCATACTGTTGTATTTGGTTTAATATGGTTTAATATTAGGTATGAATTTGGCAGAAAGGTGGTTATATTCACCTTTAGTCATACTTAGTAAGCATAACATATCCGGGTCCGTTTTGGAAAAGAGATATAAACAAGGTTTGAAAATTCAGTTTCTAGTGAGGGAACTAAATGTGGCAACTGCTTTAAGACCCTTAAAATATGTATCTTTTTTTGCTATATTTAAATACATTTATTTGTAGTTTCGGGACAGAATTTGATTGATAGACCTCTGTAGCGTGAACATATTATCACAGTTATCTTTTAAAACTATAAATTTTTGAACTTGAACTGGTTTAAATTAAATAGGCAAGTTTCATGAATTTAATTCTTGTAATCATTAATAATATCTAGATTGTACATTAAAGAGAATGTTCTGTTTTCAGTTTATGATTTATGTGTATAATATATGTTTAGAGTAAAATGTAGTTTGTTTTAACTGATAAACTAGTAATTTCTGTCATTTATTAAAGAACTGATGTTGTAGTATTTTTTGCATAACAACAAAAAAGGGGGCCATGTTTTTCAGACATGTTTATATTCATTTTAAACAACACAATAATAATGTTTAACTTCAAAAGTCTTCATAAATACACATTTGGTGTAATAACTCTGATTTTTAATCTCGACCAATTGTCATTTTGTAAAAAAAAAAAAAAAAAGATCTACATTTGGGGAAACAAATTGTCATAGCTTTTATAGAATAAAACAATCATTAACATTTTATTCAACAGGCCCGTAGCCAGCCTGGTGAAAGGGGTTGTTCATTTTTTCTCAAAAAGCTTTTTTGCAGTTATTCACCGTATTTTTTTTTTTTAATGATGAACTTTAAATACTGCATTTTAGTGATATTTTAAGTACTATTTTTAGCTGGATTAGCTTGTCGATTGGTCATCATAACCACACTTTTTGAGGTACTAAAACATTTACTAAATATTTTAAATAAAGAAATATGAAAAACATTTATTAAAAAATACAAGTTTATTACATCATATATCTTGTATCTGTTAAAGTTTTAAAATAAAAACAAACTGGCCAGCACATTCAACGTTCCTCAATCAGAATCTTAATTATAAAAACATTAATAATAAAACATTAATATTAATAATGTAGAGCTTTTTGATTTTTCTAAACTTTTTTGTAACTAAAAGTACATTTTGAAAGTTCATGGATAAAAACAATAGCCTAATTAGTATAAAAACTTACTTTAATATGGGCTTCTTTTGGTGCTTTCAAGAATAAGGTCCAAGATTCAAAATAAAAGTTACTTGTAGTAAAAGAAGATTTCACTTTCGTCATATACTGTCTTTTTAAAACATGGACTATAATTTTTTACTTTTATTGGAAGCCTTCTTTGATCCCTTCTCAGTTTATGATGGCACTGCAGTCAAAATAAGACAAATGAGCTCATGTATGGGACAAATTCTGGACCTTTTATTGGTGGGGGGTGAGTTTTTCGAACCACCCCCACCCCCTGACTACTGGCCTGTCAAACCCAAACCTACTACATCTAAAAAAATCCATACTGAGTATTTTCAGGTGGTCTCTTTGTTTCCTCACTAAAGCTCTTTATTGTCAAAAACTATATATTTAAATCAACATATTGAAAGCAAAACTCAGAAATCCTCTAAATGTACAAATTACATACAATACACACAAATATAATTAAGTATACTAAAATACTATGCACATTTTAAAAACATTATGTCGGTTGAATGTATTTATGTGCTTATTTTTCTTGTAAAATGTACAACCCTGAGCAAAATGCCGAGTCTTGTTTGTGTCCTCAAAATTCCTGAGCACAAGGGCCCCTTCAAGGATGCTTAATTGAGAGAGTATTGTCAGTCACATGCTCTTGAGGTTTCGAACACACAGTCTCAGAGCTATGAGTCAGTAAGCCTCTGGTCCCTGAGCGGACAGCAGCATCCCAATGCCTCTCTCTCGGGAGATGTGCTCTATGCTCAAGAGAAAGATCCGGTAGGTCTAGATAACCCCCCCGAATTTCCTGTGGTCCAACACACACGCGCTCTTGTTCTCAACCCAGCGTCAAGATCAACTTCTTGTGTTGTTGTTTTTTTTTAAATTCTTTAAGATGTCTTTTGCTTTCTGTAGGTTTGATTCTAGAAGAGCTGTTCAGCAACTAAGAGCATGTGGTGTTCTGGAGACCATTCGCATTAGCGCCGCCGGCTATCCATCACGGTAATCAATCTACAGCTCTTTTCTTTCTTGTTTGATTTATCTGACTTCAGTTTATAAACCTCAGGGTCTCCCCAGTAGAATTCCATAATATTTCTGTATTGACTTCAATAGTCATTCAAACTGATTTCCTCTTCACATCTGATGTTTTTTCTTAGATGGACATATCCAGATTTCTTCAGCAGATATCGAGTGCTCATGACAAAGAAGGATCTGTCAGTCGGAGACAAGAAGCAGGTCTGTAAGAACCTGCTGGAGATCTTGATCAAGGTAAGACCAGTTTAAATATCACTTCCACAAATGTACTTGCTGTTTTCAACGCTGATTACATTTACAGTTAAAGTCAAAATTATTAGCTCTTCTGTGACTTTTATTCTTTTTCGTTTTTCTTTCCTTTTTTAAGTAGTTCCCAAATTATGCTTAACAGAGCAAGGAATTTTTCCACAATATTTTCTATAATCTTTTTTTCATATGGAGAAAGTCTTATTTATTTTGTCTAGAATAAAATCTATTTTAAAAAAATGTATCATTTAATGTTAAAATTATTAGCCCCTTTAAGCTATATATATTTTTTTGATTGTCTACTGATTTGCCTGATTACCCTACGTAAACCTAATTACCTTAGTTAAGCCTTTAAATTGCACTTTAAGATGAATACTAGCATCTTGAAAAATATCTAGTTATATTTTACTCTCTATATTATTATTGTATTATTTACTTTCATCATAGCAAAAATAAAATAAATCAGTTATTTGAAATTAGTTACTAAAACTATTATGTTTAGAAATGTATTGAAAAAATGAACAGAGGAGTTAATATTTCAGGAGGGGTTAATAATTCTAACTTTAACTGTGCATGCACACTTATAATAGGATTTTGGTCGATTTGATTGAGCGTATAATAATTATAACCATAATCAATGTAAATTGTGATTTTAATTACAATGAACAGGCTAGTAAACACCTTGATGCTGCGGTCACACTAGAGTTGGAGCATGCGGAAGTATGGCCCTGAAAACGGGCGGAAATAAATAAGATGATTAGACATTTTAAAAAGCGAGCTAATGGTCCATATTTTACATTTCTTTTCAAAGAGGTCATGTTTTGGTCTTCAACTGGTCTCACACAGATGCCATGTTTTGTTTTGTTTTGTTTTCACTTCATAACTTCATTTTAACAATACATTCATCAGCGCAACTCACTACACTGTTACAGCTCTGAAAATTCAACTTTATTTCAGAATATTTGTCAGGTTTTTGTCCTCAACCACTTTTGTGTGTAGGACTGTTTTTTATACATTTCGTCCAAAGACTTTTGTTTAATTTTTTATTTTTGACTCATTTTTTTGAATAATTTTGCTGTTAAATAAGTGGAATATTTCAGCGTCATGATGTGGAGCTGTGATAAAGTCATGACGTGCCTGGATTTACTTTAGCCGTGTGATAATCTAAAAATTGCTGAATGTTCATCAGCCAATCATAATCAAGCATTCATCAGCGCCTGCACATGTATATCTATTATTTCACAATATTATTGTTTCTGTTTTTGATCAAAAAGTTTTTTATAAAGCTTTTTTTTCACTTTCGTCAATTGGTGAAGCTTATTCTTCGACATTGGCTTCCTTGGTTTGGGACTTGTGGAGCTGCGCATCAGTGGAGTTGCTCTTCAGTGTTCAGTGTTTGGGCTCAGCAGAGACATTTATATTACATTAAACTAAGCTAAAATTTATCAGTGAAAACTGGACTAAAGCGGTTTTAATTTACTAGAGACTTCTTTGACACAATCTACATAGTAAAAATCACTATAGAAATAAAGATGAATTGATATGAATGAAATTAATGCAGCTTTGTTGCAGTGACTGTGACCCACTGGTAGTGAGTTTATTATATCAGATTTAATTTTTTATAACAAATACAGATTAACTATTAATTTTTCTGCTCTGAGTTAAATATATAATCAATCCTGCAACATTATCTTTTATTAACATACATTTATATTTGACGACATATCTTTCAATCAAAGATAGTTATCTTGAGTAATCCTGTTTATTGTGACTCTGTTTCTCCTTCAGGATCCAGATAAGTTCCAGTTTGGAAAGACTAAGATCTTCTTCAGGGCGGGTCAGGTGGCCTATCTGGAGAAGCTCAGAGCCGATAAGTTCCGCTTCGCCTGTATTAAGATCCAGAAGACTGTGCGAGGATGGCTGCAGAGGATTCGGTATCGCAAGATTCGCAAGTCTGCCATCACTTTACAAAGATACGGCCGGGGTTACTTGGCACGCAGGTGAGTGTCTGAGTTGATGGCTATTAGCTTAAAGGTGTATTTTAAGGAGATCCCTTATGGTTACTCAGTCAACTTCCTTTTGAGTGCAATAATATGGGAGTTATTCTCTACATCAGTAGATGCTGTTTCTGATCTTCCTTAATTGCCTCATTTGTAGTTCTGATGATTCCTCTGGGAACGTATGCATCATGATATCATGAATGTAAATAAATGCAGCGAGACATTTAGTTGTATTAGTAATGTGACCTACATGACCTATATTATGTTAACTTGTGTGCATTGTTTGTTTTGACAGCAAATTTTGATTTCATTTTAGTCTTATTTCAGTCTTCTTCGTGGATTGTAGTTTAAGTTTAATTTTATTTTGCTAAATTTATCAAATTTTAGTTAACTAAATCTACTCTAGATAAATTAAAGTTAGTTTTTTAGTAATTTTCTTTTGGTTTAGTCCCTTATTTATCAGGGGTCGCCAGAGTGGAATACTCAACCCAGTACTGGAAAATAGTTAAATCATAATATATTAATAATACCTCAACTTAATGTTCATTATTAAGACTGTAATAAGCTGATTTGCATTAAAAGTCACTGAAGAAAACCGTGTTTAAGCTTTTAGCCAAAAATTAGCATTGATTTAGTTAAGCTATTTTAAGCGTAAACGTCTACATCTTAGGTGTCATAAGACTCATATGACATCTTTTAAAAAAGGAATAATAGCAGGAAGCGCTAATGCTTCAATTACAACTTTTCTCATTGTCTCTCAGGTACGCAGAGATGCTTCGCCTGACCCGAGCAGCAGTCATTTGTCAGAAGCAGTACCGCATGGTACAGGTTCGCCGGGAGTATCTGAGGGTCCGTCGGGCTGTAATCACCATTCAAGCATTCACCCGAGGCATGTTCATACGCAGGTTATATCAGGAGGTACAGCACTGCATTTTTATCTTTCACTCTCTCTCTGTTTACCTCATAAAAGCAATTTTTTAAGGGGACATAATATGCAAAAATCACTTTTTTGTGGATTTAAAACACAGTTATTTGGCAACAGTCTGTGAATGTACAGTAGCCACCCTCTATTGGTAAATAATAATTAATTGTATTTTTTATCACACTTGCAAAACAATGCAAAAAAAACTTTGTACATGTCATCGGAGCAAGAGTATCTATTTGTGGACTGCAAGAAATGGGCGTAACATGAAGAAGGCGTAACTTGTAGTAAGTTAGATGCGTAACTTGCATCTATTGAAATCCCATTGAACCATATGAGATGTCAAACTAGATGTTGTTAGCAAGCCGGTGGAAATATGTACCAGAGAACATTTTCAGCAAATGTTTTTATGAATTTTCTCCAAATTTATCAACAACCTATTCATTTGATATAGTGTTATAGTCATTTAGAAACTCTGACTTCTTAGTCTGTTTGTCATGACAGTACAATAATAACTGTGATGGTTGGGTTTAGGGTTGTGGTAGGCATAGACGTTAATAACTGTAATGGTTGGGTTTAAGTGTGGAGTAGGTGTAGACCAGAGCTATTCAATTAGTTTGTCGTGGGGGCCAGTCCATAAAAAGCATCCCAAACGAGGGGCCGGAGAGATATGACTAGCAATATAAGTGATGACACAACAGCATATAAGAGCCCATATGCTGTATTTGTGGTCATAAAGACACCCACGTTGACTTTTTCTACATTAAAACGTTAATATGTTGTATTTTTAAACTGCATATCATCACTGCATTGTACAATGTGGCTTTTTTACAAGCATATCTAAAGGTTGTATTTCGAGGCACAAAATCAGTGTCTTGCTCAGTAGGCTTTTTCTACATTCAGACACATTCTTATGTTATGTTTTAAACTGCGTAACAATTTGGGATGCAATGATTATAGATTTTGGTTGTACGATTATAGTCTAAAGAATAATCATGGTTTCACAGTTATCACCATTACTATGCCTTTATTATATTTTAAACACTACTAGTTTAGAAAATAAGAAGAAAACTGCTTAGATTTTAAAGCATTGTTTATTGCTGCTCAGTAATCAAATACAGCACAAAATATTTATAAAAAACAAACAGTAGTCCATTTCTCTTTTTGGACTTAAAAATAAATTGCGAGCGCCAGCAGGGCGCAAATGCATCGGTCCACTTGCAAGCCGTGCGTGCGCCGCTCCCAATATGCGCACGTCTCTATAGGAAATATTGTATTTGTGTGCAGAAAAGACACAATATGTGAACAGCTTGCTGGAATAATTAATCCAATGTGCGTTTAGGCAAAACTTTTAGTTGCAGCAGCTTTTTTTCTGTGCACCAGAAATGCAGCGTTGAGAAGCCTGTAATGAATAAAAGCGGGGTTAAAAGTGAAATCAGCTAATCATTGCACCCTTAATAATATCAGTGCATTGTACAAAAGGCCTTTTCAACAAACCAATACAAATGTTTTCGGCTGCTCGCACCACTCGCCTAATGTCAGGTGACTCACTCTCTGCGCAGCCTTCAACTGCAGCTTGTGTTGTATTGAAACCGTCTATAGCACAGGTGTCAAACTCAGTTCCAAAAGGGCCGCAGCTCTGCACAGTTTAGTTCCAACCCTAATTAAACACACCTGATCAAACTAATAGAATCCTTCAAGCTTGTTTGGAACCTACAGGTAAGTGTGTTGGAGCAGGGTTGGAACTAAACTGTGCAGGGCCTCCAGGAATTGAGTTTGACACCCCTGGTCTATAGCAATCGTTTTTCGACTGAACTAAATTTATTTTTAATGTCTTGGTCACACTTTGGAGGGCCGGAACAAATTGCCTCGGGGGCTGGTTTTGGCCGGCAGGATGCTAGTTGAATAGCCCTGGTGTAGACGTTAATAACTAATGGGTACAGTGCCATCTTGCCAACAACATAGTTTCAACATGTGGGTCTCCTTAACTTCATGTTACACATTTTCTACAAGTTACGCCATTCATGTTACACCCCTATCTTGCAGTCCGTAGACAGACACTTCTTCATCAGAGGGGGAAAAAAACCCAGCCATTAGTGAAGATCTCTGCCTCATTAGCATGAACAGTCCTGAGTGAGAAGCAGCCATTAGTCCTGAGTGAGAAGCAGACATTATCTTCAGCAAGTGAAAACCATTAGAGTTTTCACTTGCTGAAGATAATGTCAGCGGCTGAGATGATTATTTATGTGGAGTATTAGATGCACAAATGAACACTGTAATCTCCATAGGCTGCCTTCTCCTGAGAATCTCATTTGCATTTAAAGCAACATTCAACAAAACAGTACAATTAGGATCAAAGCCTAAAAGGGGGCAGTTTCAAAGAGTTATAAAACATTATTTGTGTGGTGTTTTGATCTGAAACTTCACATACACCCTCTAGGGACATTGCAGACTTATTGTATATCTTATTGTTATATCTAAAATACTGCATAATAGGTCCCCTTTAAGGTGCGTTTTCTATCTTTTCCAGTTCCTGCTCCATCACAAAGCCATGATCATACAGAAGACTGTCCGTGGTTGGCTTGTAAGAAAGAAGTATCAGCGTTCCCGATACGCTGCCATCGTCATTCAGTGTTTCTATCGCCGCGTACGTGCCAAGCGGCAGCTCAAACAGCTCAAGATAGAGGCCCGTTCAGCCGAACACTTTAAAAAACTCAATGTCGGAATGGAGAACAAGATCGTGCAGCTCCAGAAGAAGATGGACAACCAGGTACAGAGAGTAAACATGCATGCATTGTTACAATGTCACCCTACGAAACAAATAAAATGTTGATCTTCTCTTCTATGCAGTCAAAAGAGTTAAAATCTCAGAACGAAAATCTGGCTGTTGCTAAAACTGTTCTGGAGACAGAGGTTAGTAAGCTGAGCAAAGAGCTGGAGACCCTCCGCACTCGACAGGTGGCTGGCACTCAGATGACATCACTGCAGGAAGAGCTGGAGAAACTGAGGGCGGAGCTTCAGGAAGCACATGCCCACAAGAAACTTTTGGAGGAGGAGTTCAGCAACGAGAAGCAAGGACTCGAACAGGTGAGAAAGGATGCACAGATACCTAGTTCATGTATCCTACCATTTTACTTCTACTTTCAAGATTGTAGTGTTATGATTAGATTTGTTTAGGGGTAAATTTATGAATGCTACAAAGCAGTTGAGAAGATGACACTCAGGCTTTCATAACAGAGCAGCTGTTACATAACTCATGTCTGTCATCCTCAAGCAAATTTAATAATGCATGGAAATTGCTAAAGAGGTGTGACCAGCACATAAAAAGGTCCTTTGAAAAGGAAAAGTCAGCCAGTGTGTATTCAATGTGATCATCTTACTCTTTTATTGGTATTAAGAGTTTTAAATCATAAATATAAACTGCAGTAACTACAAATATATTTGCAATCATACATTATATTAATTACAAAAAATAGGTCAAATATTAAGTCAAATTGCTGAAATTAAAATGGTATAAATTATAGTAATTGGATTAATTAGACATAAAATATATGTGCTTCAACAGATGCATACTATAGAGTAAGTATTTTAGTTATTTTAGTTATTTTTTTATTGTAATGATGGAAATCTTCATTTAAAGTATTTTCTTTGACGGCAAAGCCATTTTTCTTTCCATTTTTTTCTTACTCCAGTCTTCAGTGTCACATGATCCTTCTAGATTTTTCTGATATTCTAATTTGATGGTAAATAAACAGTTCTCAGTTTCTCAATGTTACAAAAAAACTCTTGTAATGTTAAGTATGTTTTATTTCAGAATAAATAGAAAGTTTTAAAACATTAGAATTTATTTCAAATGAAAATCTTTCCTTAAAACAACTGCTACATTCATAACAAATATTGTATATTCTTAAGATTATTATTTATATGATAGACCAAAAAGTCTCAAACTTTGGGAGTTTAATTTCTTACAGTTAACCTTGTTACACTTTTTACAGTTAACCTTGCTTGTTTATCTGATGCTTTGAAATGAATGGACGGTGTGACTTTTTCTTTCCTTTCGCAGAGGGTGGAGGAGCTTGAGAAAGAAAACACAGTCTTGAAGAAGGAAAAAGAAGAGATGAACCGCAGAATCCAAACCTCTACTCAGGGTGAGCGTCTCGGTTCACAGTCTCACACACACACACACAAATACAGTAAACACACACACACACACACACTCCAAGCATCAGGAGGAAGAGGCATGAGGATCGAGAGCATGTGGGTTTGTCTGGAGGGCTGGGCTGGTTTTGTTTGACGCACAAGAGGGGCTGTGTGCAGAAGTGGGACGAGAGAGACAGAAACTGCATTGGATTTCAGAGGAGGAATGTGACACCGCTTCTTTACCTGCAAAACTAAAAGCTGACCATTGTATCAGGCCGATTCACATGCGAGAATGCTATTTGAAACCCGAGGTTTGGTCTCAATACGTTTTTTATTTGCTAAATGTCACTTTCTGCACTGATTTTCTTAGTTCTGCTCCGCTTTCAGGGCTTGTTTAACAGGGGTTGTTGTGAATGTAGGGATTTGTTTTTTGATGACTCCTCAGGGTTTTTTTTTGTGTGTTTTAGTAGAAGCTAAAATTTGTCTCTCAAAATTTTTCGGTTTGATTTGTTGTCTTCTTACAAATCCTGAGTCTAAATATCTAAAGAGGCTATTATTCTGTCGAGGGACAAAGTTGACTGTCCCTATGCCATATGGTCATCGCCTTTTCAGTCTTTAAAATATATTACTTTCTGTTCCACTGGAGAAGAAAAAGTTTTACAGGTTTAAAACGATATAAGCAATTTTTTCCCATTCTGTGTGTACTGTCTCTTTAAGGAAAAGTCTTGTGAATAGGAAAGTAAAGGCTGGAGGCATGGTCATGCTGTTTTGTGCCGCTGATAAACAAGATACTGTTCACAATAAACAACATCAAATACCCTTTATGGATTGTCGTATCTGCAACAGTTTGTAAAAAAAAAGAGAAACGTTTTAGAAAGGAACAATTTAGAAATAGTATCTTAATGTCAAATAAGGAGCTTCACTCATTTTTTAAAGAGATAGTTCACCCAAAATTGAAAGTTCTGTCATCATTTATATCACTTTACTTGTTTCAACATGTTCTGACTTTATTTCTTCTGTTGAACACAAAAGAAGATATAGTGAAGAAAGCTAGAAACTCATATACTGTTTGTTTTTCCTTTGTTTTGGTTTTTGAGGGAGAGTAAATAATGAGAACATTATTATTTTAGGATGAACTATGCCTTTAAAATGGTGACTTCAATTAAAGGGGATAAAGGGAAGAGTGTCACAGATTCATTGTTCGTCTTACCTCATATCCCATGATATTGAAGTAGGCCGTTTATTGGATGATTGCTTCATCAAATTATTATAAGACCATACTTTTGATAACGCTGGCAAATTTAGTTCAAAGGATTTGATTACAGGGATTTATGTTAAAAGAGTTTGATTTATTTATTTTGGTATTGTACTTCAAAACACTTGAGTACAGCTGAGTAGTCTTTTCAGCAAAATGTTTGTCCCAAGTTGTTAGCAAATTATGTTTTGTTCTGTATTTCGCATTTCCTAAAAATTCTTGCATACGATGATTTTATTTGTTGAGATTACAAAATGAAGGACATATTGTAACTTACACATAGACGCTCAAAGGTCTTCATTCAGAGTAGTAATAAAAACTTTTATTGATCAATAAAATATCAATCAAGACAAAGATCAATAATTGATGTGCTATCATCATCATCAATGTTATATTGCATAATATTTGGGTTAATAAAAACCTGTAGTGTGCAGGTAAAAACACTCAGTCAAAGATGTCACCGGTTGAATTGATTATAAAGAGTTTTCGGTTTTCTCATACCATATGAAAACCCTCTCATTAGACCTAGATTGTGAGAAAGATGTTGTTCATAATGAAAAAAAAATTCAGCTTGTGAAAGATGATACGAGGGAATGGGATGAGCGTGGCATCTGGTTGATGGTGTTATTTGTGTGTGTTGTGTCTCTCAGATCAGGGAGGTGATGTGTCTCAGAAGGAGAGTCGCCTGCAGCATGAACTGGATGACGAGAGACAACGATATCAGAACCTGGTGAAAGAATATTCCCGACTGGAGCAGAGATACGAAAACCTGCAGGAGGACATGTCTTCAATGAAGGTAACAATTTTACAGCGAGACTGATCTTCTGAGGCCTTTTAAACAAATCTGGTTTGGGTTTTTACTCAGGTAAGTTTGTATTTGTTTTGAGCAAACAACACAAATGTGAGTTTTGGGGCTGAAAAGGATGGTTTGGTTTTGATCAGGTTTCACTACTTGGCTAAACTGCTTCTGAGAAGCTTTTGTTCTGGGTTAGAGATCACAAACCCAAATTGGACCAATCAGCAGTGAGTAAAGTGACGTGTATATCTGATGCAATAAAGCCACTCCCAGTGACATTTTGTCCAAATTAATGCTTTTTACACTGAAAGGATTTTTGAGTTAAAATTGTGTTGTGATGATAATAGTAATTTATATTGTATGAATTACAATTATTTATATTATATTTGAATATTATATATTTAAATTAGGGCAGTACAATATATAATTTCAGTATCGATATCGGCATGTGCACTTCTGCAATAGTCATATTACAGCAATGTTGAGTCTAAATTAAAATTGACTAGAAGCTACATAACGTTATTTGTTTAACTAATAGAGTGAACTTTATCATTTGCATGTGTTTTTATGGTCTTTGTCTGAACATTTCAAGAGAGTTTTAAAAACTTGGCCACAAATAATTATAATGTTGGAAAATGTAACAAAGGTTAATTGTATTAAATTATTTATTCAGAGGTGAAAGATTATTTTACTTACCTCATTGGCTGACATTTTTGCTTGTTTTTCGAAAAAAAAAACTCACTTTTTAAATTATATATTCTGAAGGTTAAAGGAAAAATAATACTTTTTAAAATGTTTAGATATTTGGACTAGAAACAAGACAAAGCAAGAGAAGAAAAGCGTTTTTAGCATTGTGATAATTTCTCTACCTGAAAACTGTTAAACTCCCTGGAAAGTTGTCAAACAGACCTATTTAAACCATCTTATGAAAATGTTTTCATATTGCAACATGTATCGCAGAAAAATAAAATATTAGATTTTACAATATCAGACAATATCAGATTTTTCCATCATCATGCAGCCTTAATTCAAATATTTTTGAATTGTCAATTAATATCAGTAATAGCTTTAAGTTCAAATTTACATTTTAATATTTACATAAATATGTTTTAATTAAGACTTCAAGAGATGAAGTGATCTATTTGTGAACCTACATTATTAAAATCAGTCGACCTAATTTGCACTGATATAATATTTTCTTTAATTGCCTTTTTAAATTATACTTCTTCAGCAGTGGTCCAGAGTTAAACACAAACTCTATGTTAAAGCACCAATACTGTGACAGCCCCTATCCGGATGCTAACTAAGTTGAATTTGTTTGGTTTTGTCAACTTAAAACTTAGTCTGAAACCTGAGTTTGTTCACTTGGATTTGTGCAATAGGCCTCTTGGGTTTTCTTTTCGTTGTTGTTGTTGTTGTTGTTGTTGTTGTTGTTGTTGTTGTTGTTTTTAAACTTTTATTTTTTTCCACACTCTAGTTTCATCCTGGGCATCGGAGAAACCCATCTAACCAGAGCAGCTTGGGTTCAGACTCCAACTATCCCTCAATTAGCTTGTCAGAGGTGGGGGACACTGATGACACCATCCAGCAGGTGGAGGTAAAGATGTGTGACAACTTATAAAATAGGCTTTTGAAAGGGAAACAAAGGCAGCTCATGATGAGCATTAATGGGATTTGTTTTGCTGCAGGAGATGGGCATAGAGAAGGCTGCCATGGACCTCAGCGTTTTCATGAAGTTACAGAAACGTGTACGAGAGCTGGAGCAGGAGAGGAAGCGGCTGCAGACCAATCTAGATAAAGTAGAGGAACTGAGCAAACGCAAGGCATGTTTATTTGTCACATTCTGTTTGCTTTTATAGTCATTTCACAGTTGGGACAAAGCTTAAAACAAAACATTGAAGTCTGAATTATTCGCCCCCTGTTTATTTTTTTTCTCCCAATTTCTGTTTAACGGAGAGAAAATCTTTCAACACATTTCTAAACGTAATAGTTTTAATAACTCATCTCTAATACCTTATTTATTTCATCTGTGTCATGATAAAAGTAAATTATATTTGACTAGATATTTTTCAAGACACTTCTATACAGCTTGAAATGACATTTAAAAGCTTAACTAGGGTAACTAGGTTAACTAGGCTGGTTGGGGTAATTAGGCAAGTTATTGTATAACGATGCTTTGTTCTGTAGACTATCATACAAATATATAGCTTAAAGGGGCTTATAATTTGACCTTAAAATGGTGTTTAGAAAATTAAAAACTGCTTATATTCTGGCCAACATAAAACAAATAAGACTTTCTCCAGAAGAAAAAAATTATCAGACATACTCTGAAAATTTCCTTGCTCTGTTAAACATTGTTTAATATATATAAATATATTTTTTATAAATATAAAAAAAATAATAATAAAAAGGAGGTTTAATAATTCTGATTTCAACTGTATGAAAAAAATAAAATAAAAGATAAATTAAAACTAAATACAACATGGAAAATTGCAAATTGTTTAAAAATAAAAAATGAAGGACAAACAAAAATGTACTACAACAAAAAGTAAATAAAACACATTTCAACAAAAAAAAATACAACAATGCAAATTAAAGCTCACTAACAAATAAAACAAAAACATACCTCAAAACAAAACTTAAAACAAAGGAAACATTAAGCAAAACATATAACACAAACCCAAAAATAAGAACATAAAACTTAATATAACTGGGTGTCCGCTGGGTCTTAAAAAGTATTAAAAGTTGATCAATCAACTATGAGAAAATTAAGGCATTTATAATGTATTAAAAAGTCTTAATCAAGTTTTTGCAAGGTCTTAAATTCTGTTCAAGCATTGTCCAAAGTGTCTGACTCTAAAAAAGCATAAATATATGCTGGGGTGCGTCCGGCCAAACTCCTTGGTCTTTTGGTTATGTCACGTACTTTGCGACAAATACGAGGAGGTGAATTCATAGAGCGAAACAGACAACACAGAAACAGTTTGCGTACACCTGGTTGGAGAAAGATGAGCTTAAACAGTGCCTGAAGCCTGCCGCTGAAAACAACCGCGTAATTTATTCTTTCAAGCTTTGTTTTTTCCGAGCTTATCCGAGTTCTGTTGCATGGTTGTGCTCTATTGATATATTAAACTAAAACTGTTTATTAACAACTGTTTATTAACTGATTACAACTTGAAGTGCAGATGAGGTCTTAAAATATTCTGATAAGGTCTTTAAAAAGTCTTAAACAGGTATTAGAATTACCTTTAGGATTCCTGCAAATACCCTCTATAAAGTAAAACAATACACATTTTATTTATAGTCTTTATTTGAAGTCTATTATACATTTAAAAATTTACAAATTCAAGCTGCATTAAGTAAAGTAGATTGGCTTCAACTGGAAATGTCAATACATGAAGGAAATCTAACAGTCTAATCAGTTGAAAGTGTCTTTAAAGTAGTAAACATACTGTACATGCTCATAAAAGTAATATTCAATCATCAAGATCTGCTCATGTCTTCTATGTGCACCCTCAGAACTGCAGTATGCTATATTTAACCTGAACTAAATCCCGCTAAACATTTTCCCCTTTTTGACTATAGGTTACAACACAGGCGATCGGTCATAAACAGCAGTTATCTTCTCTGATGGTCCATCATCTGTACTCGCAATAGCATGATCCTCTGCTTTATCAGTCGGCTTGTGTTTACATCCATTTTTTTCTTCCTCTTTTATCTCCCAGGGAAGCGAGGCCAAGAACTCAACGTCAGAGGACGATATAAACGCAGACCTGGCCTACAACAGTCTGAAGGTAAGAGTCAGTGCTGACGGTCAAATGTCTGTCTTGGTGCTTGTTGATTTATTCTGCACTTCGGCCGCTCTGTTGCTGTTGCTCATCGTGCTGCCTGTTAAACTGTGGGTGAGTAAACTGGGACCAACATTTTTACAGAGCTGACATTTTAGTTTTTAATACCAATTCACAATGTCTTTTAAATATTGTTAAATAAACTTCTGATTTGCTGCTTATCGGAAGTTAGCAAGGTGCTGTTTAGGATGAAGAGATCAGTCTTATGGTTATGCTGAATATAGCATTAGCTGGTAATAAGCAACTAATATACTAATTATTCCTAATAATAATTAAGAATGGTATTTCTTAATAGTAATTCTTATTTAATTGTGAGAATTGGTCCCTAAACTGAAGTGTTATCTATGTGGAGTGTTTTGCCTTAATTTTTAGTTAAAAAGTCACTTGCATTGAGCAACTGATTTCATTTTAAATAAATGAAAACAAGGATGTGTGGACTTTTATTATGTAATATTTATTTATATATTTTGATCAACATCTTGCTGACAAGATAACATTTAATATGATTATTGTGTATATAAATCACTTTTGTAAATGTTATGTTATCTGGATACCAAATATTGACATTTTCTATTTGACTAAAATCTGCAGACAAATAATCAAACAATATACACTCACCGGCATCTTTAGTAGGTTCACCTTACCTAATAAACCTGTACCAGGTTGGACCCCCTTTTGCCTTCAGAACTGCCTTAATCCTTAAATTGCTGAACCATTGATACAAGGCAGGATGAATCCATGCTTTCATGGTGTTGATGCCAAATTCTGACCAGACAACGCTTTTATTGTCCAACTTTGGTGAGCCAATGCGAATTGTAGCCTCAGTTTCCTGTTCTTAGCTGACAAGTGGGGCACCCTGTGTGGTCTCCTGCCGCTGTAGCTTATCCGCCTCAAGGTTTGACGTTGTGCATTCAGAGATTCTCTTCTACATACCTCGGTTGTAACAAGTGGTTATTTTAGTTACTGTTGCCTTTCTATCAGCTCGTACCAGTCTGGCCATTCTCCTCTGTCATCAATAAGGCATTTGCAACCAAAGAAATGCTGTTCACTGGATATTTTCTCTTTGTCGGACCATTCTCTGTAAGTCCTAGAGATGGGTTTGAGTGAAAATCCCATTAGATCAGCAGTTTCTGAAATACTCAGATCAGCTCGTCTGGCACCAACAACCATGCCAAGTTCAAAGTCACTTAAATCACCTTTCTTCCCCATTCTGATGCTTTTTTTGAACTGCAGCAAATAGTCTTGATCATGTCTACATGCCTAAATGCATTGAGTTGCTTCCATGTGATTGGCTGATTAGAAATGTGCGCTTTTGAGAAGTCGGAAAGGTGTACCTAATAAAGTGGCCGGTGAGTGTAAAAGTAATAAGTATATTTATAATACTCAATATATAGTATTATAATAGAGTATATAGTGTAGTAATCTTATGTAACAATTTAAAACATTTGCAAATATATATATATATATATATATATATATATATATATATATATAGGGATCATTTATCCCAAAATTCAAAAATAAAAAATTAAGTAGTTCGACAGTTTTGTGAATTTCTTTCTTCTGTTGAAAACAAAACAGCATATTTTGAAGAATGCTGGGAAATAAAGCAGCCATTAACTTCTATAGTTGGAACAAAAACTATCCTGGAAGACAATGGCTTTTTTTTTTCAACTTCCTCTAGTACATCTTGTTTTGTGTTCAACAGAAGACTCTCAAACAGGTTTGAAATTTTCCAAGTGAAGGATGAGTAAATTATAACTTAATTTTAATTTTTTGGTTGAACTATCTGTTTAAATAGAATCTTTTGATCGTCATCAGACTACCTTTGATTTAAATTTGCCTGATAAGATTTGTTGGTATGAAAAAATGATTGCAGTAAATGACATTTTAGCAGATGTCTCCTCATTCATAGAACTTCAAATGAATGAAAACGTGACTGTGTGGAATAGACTGGATGTTTGATCGAGTATAATGTCTATTAGATCATATTTATTTCATGGAAGACCGCTCGATTAACCTTAAAAAACAAAACAAAGTGCTATCAGGTTAACTCTTTTGCCAAGGAGCAAATTCAGGAAAGTAGCCAAATAAACTTTTCAGTCTTTATACTTTTGTCTGGCTAGAAATATTAAGTATTATGTACCTATTCTAACACAACATTGTTTTGACAGCTTAATGTCTTTGAAACAAGCTCTTATCTAAGTTCTGAAGAGTAATGCACACAGTGTAAAACTATATGTGATAACTAAAAGGTATGGAATGAAAAGTAATGAGTTTAAAAACTTGTGAATGTGTAAAACTTGGATGGATGCATGGATGGATGGATGGATGGATGGATGGATGGATGGATGGATGGATGGATGGATGGATGGATGGATGGATGGATGGATGGATGGATGGATGGATGGATGGATAGATAGATAGATAGATAGATAGATAGATAGATAGATAGATAGATAGATAGATAGATAGATAGATAGATAGATAGATAGATAGATAGATAGATAGATAGATAGATAGATAGATTAAGTCTTTAAACACTAAATTACATTTTAGTAGGTGCGTCATAAAAAAACAAAAAAATATGATTAATAATATAAGTCATTATTTTTGGCTCAGAAAAAAACATTATGCTAGAAAACATTGCTATTAAGTACTCAAATTTGCTTCTTTTGTCCTAAACTTTCTTTGAAAGTTTGAATTTAAAGTTCTAAAAATATCTAAAAACCTTGATTTCCAGGGTAGTTTCTAAATTCCCTCATTGTTGAATTCTCACTGGCTTAAAAAAATCAAGCTGCCGTCCATTTAGTGTATAACCTGTGAAGCCTTTAGGAACTTTACTTTGTCATATCACTGTGATCTTCCTCAGATACCTCACATGCCCTTAATCCTTCCATATCAGCCATCAGGTATTTATCTGAGCACGAGGGTGTGTTGAAACCCCGACAGCAGGTTCAATTTTACAGCTTTAAAAAACTCAACTCTGACCAGAGAACAAAGTACAAGAGTGAAGACACCAGAGCTAAACACTGATCTGGAGCCTGCGCAGCTTAAGGCAGTAGAGTTGCGTAACGGATTTGTTTGTTTTCTTAATGCACCCCAACTTTGCTCTGTGAGCTTATATAATAATTGCTGATGGTTCTTGTTCTGCAGCGCTCAAGCTCTCTTTGATCAAAGCTTTAGCTCATAGGCATTAGATTCATGTGGTTACAGGCTACAGTTACTGTAGTCAGCATTGCTGTTTTTTAGGGAGTCCATCTCATTCTGTATCTTTCTCTCACACAAATAAACTGTCCATAAGTTCTGGATGATGCACAGCTTTTTGTCTCGGGTTGCTTGAAAGTTAACCACTCTTGATTTTTATCTGCATTGTTTTGGTGATTAACAGTTTTATTGATTCCTAAGCAAAATACACAATAGAATACAGTATTTCTGTACAGAATAACCATTGTACCCTGTTAACAAACCCAAACAAACTAGTCCCCAACTAAGAAAATGCAGTCACAACTTGACTATAATAAATTAAATTAAAAATTTCGATATATAAGAGTCAAAGTGAGAAAAAAATAAAAATAAATTAGGTGAATAAATAAAATATAAATGATTTATTAAAAAATAAATAAAATATAAAAATATAAATAATAAAATAAAAATATCCTTATAAACCCATTAAATGTACCCATTATCTGCATGGTTTTTGAGATTTTGAGCTTAATTTGTCTTTATTTCATGTATTAAAAAAAAATATATATATATATATATATATATATATATATATATATATATATATATATATATATATATATATATATATATATATATATATATGTATTTTAAATGTCCAGTATCAAAATCCTAAATTTTTAAGTGAGAATCTAAGGAAAATGTCAAAGGCAGTTAGTCTAATTTGACAAAAAACTCTTTCCACTTGGAATTGTAAGGTTATGCATTGCATAAAGCAATACTTTTCAAGAAACACTATTGATTTATATTTGAAATAATATTCTAAATGTTTGTTTTAAAACCTAAAATTAATGTTGTAACAATGAAAATAAGAAAGTTCAATTTAAAGCTGATTATGACATAGCAGTGTGTGTGTGTGTGTGTGTGTGTGTGTGTGTGTGTGTGTGTGTGTGTGTGTGTGTGTGTGTGTGTGTGTGTGTGTGTGTGTGTGGATGTTTCCCAGAGATGGGTTGCAGCTGGAAGGGCATCCGCTGCGTAAAAACGACGTGCTGGATAAGTTGGCGGTTCATTCCTCTTTGGGGACCCCGGATTAATAAAGGGACTAAGCCGACAAGAAAAAGAATGAATGATAATATAATATAATATAATATAATATAATATAATATAATATAATATAATATAATATAATATAATATAATATAATATAATATAATATAATATACAGTACCAAATAACTAATCCTATTTTGTCCGTTACATATAATTAATTAATTATTAAGTACATTAATACATTATTGCATGAGCTGTAAGTATAAATTATCTTTGCTTCAGACTAAAAGCTGCTACTTTCACTGGTAATTGTTGTAAATAAAATTTCATCAATTATGAATAGTTAACTATTTGATTTCTTAGGCTTATTATTGTCAATTTTAATACATTTTAACAATAGACAATAGACAACATTACTGTTCACCTAAATCAATGTTTAACTTGTATTGCCTTACAAAAACCAATAAAAAAGACTGAAAATAAGATAGTTTAAAATCAAATACACGTAATTTAAAATAATTCACTCTTAAAATATTCAAAGGCTTTCAACTACACAACTTTGTGTAAAATAACAATTTATTGTAAAAACTAAAAGCCAAAATGTACTTAAAGAATAAAGTCACAGAGTTTCAAGTTTTAAAAACATTTTAAACACCATATTATAAAATGTGTTCTTTTTACAGCGGCAAGAGCTCGAAACAGAGAATAAGAAGTTGAAGAATGACCTTAATGAGTTAAGGAAAGCAGTGGCCGACAGGGCCTCTGAGAACAACTCATCCAATGAGCTTCAAGATGGCTACAACCTGCTGCTCAGTCAGCTCAAAGCGGCCAATGAGGAGCTGGATGTGCGCAAGGAGGAGGTCCTGATGCTCAAGACCCAGATCGTCAACTCAACAAGACAGACAGAAAACTTAAACCACATCGTGAGTCTGAAAACATTACCTCTCATTAGTCCATTTTTTAGCATTTAACTGATTTTGATTTGTTTTTAAAGGGATAGTTCACCCAAAAATTTAAATTACCTCATCATTTTACTCTCCCTCATGCGGTTTTAAACATCTTACTTCTGTTGAACAAAAAAGAAGACCTCTATAGTAGTAAAATCCTTACTGTGGAGGTCAATGGGTGCCAGCTACCAGCATTCTTCAAAATGTCTTTTTTTGTGTTTAACAGAAGAAAATAATCTGAATTAGGTTTTGAATCAGGAGTATGGTAAGTAAATAAGGACATCATTTTTAAATTCTAGGGTGAACTATCCCTTTAATGCTGCTTTATTGCCAATATTTTTCGTTTTTTACTCATAGTTCATCAGCATCACATTAAGCTTCAGTGAAAGTATCTTGAATTTTCTTCTGTGAAAGCAGTCAAACGTGATGATATTGCATGGGATAAAGTAAGCAAAGGAAGGTTCAGTGTATTAAGGATGGAGCTTTGCAAAACCTGCACTGCTAGTGACTTTATATCCACCTGCCTGTGTGAATCTGCTGAGGTTGGCAGATCAGTGACAGTATTGATTATACCCAGATAGAAAGCCCTTTTCTTGTTTTCCCTCAGTTGTATGTCTCTCCCTCAGATATTTTTTCCTCTCCAAAAAAATTGTCTCGTTAAAATTGAGAACAATACAGTATACTTTTTCTTTCTGCTTCACTAAACAAAAATTAATCAATTACCCCCATTGATATCTTTATTTCATCTGCACAGAATTCCAACGATGTGTCTGAGTGGACCGACAACAAGAGCCCTGTGAACACGGAGGACCGCGTGGATGCGCCTGCATCAAAGAAGTAAGGCAGTGTAGTCTGCATAATGAAGGGCTTGACACCGGTTCTCCTTCATGCACTTATTTCTCTTTTTTTTAATGAAGTTGGAGTATTGAACGCTGGCTATCTGAGTCCAGGGCAGGTCTCTGATTCAGCTCTTCATGCTGTGTTTACTTTCATTTTCAGCAGTGAACCTCTGTTTTCTGAACCACATTTTGGGTCATGAATTAGCATAGAGTTAAGCTGCAAACTTAAAGAGGCACTGACAGGTTTGCATGTAAAGGTTGTTCTGTCAAATTTATAGACTTGCCAATTATCACTTTATTTATTATTTTTTTGCCACTCAACTTGCATTTTTTTTGTTCTGTTTGACATTGCTTTTATAATATATTAATGTCTGATGATCTAAATCCAATTCAGGTTAGCTTTCAAGATAACCAACCATATAATTGGTGGCAACAGTAGTTATTTCTTGGTGAACTGGCAGATGAGGCAGTAGAAAAAGCTATTTCTCTTAGAGAATGAACAATTCCTCCTGATGATCTACAACTTTCTCTTTTACATCCTTATCTGCCAACAATGGCAACGAATAATCAAATCATTTTTACAAATAATAATTGGCATGAGATCAACCAGAGTTTATATAGAAGATGCTTTTCAAATGTTATTTTTTGAGTCCAGGCATGATCAGGCAGTTTATACCAGATGCCGAATTGGTCACTCTAGGTCAGAGATGCCCAAACTAGGGCTCACGGTAACCTTTGATTTGGCCCGCCATCCCATCTTGAGAAGAGAAGGAGGATGATGGAAACTGTTTAGAGATTGTCTTTTCAAATGTAATGTAATCTTTTGTTTGTTTGTTTTATTGTTAAAAGCTAATTGAATTTAAATGTTTCAATTAAACGAATCAGATTTCGTTTAAATGTACATGTCTGACGGATAGAGGACAATGCAGAGACTTTGGTGAGCAAATCAAGGCAAAGGCAGATTCTGCTTGACTAGTGTATTTAGCATTTAACTCCATTGTTATGTTTTATTACAATAAGTTATCATTGTAAAAATTCTTCTGCATTAGTTAATACAATTAGTAATGTTTTCGGTTTATTTTTTAATATTATGAAACTACCCATGGCAACTTTAATATGATATAGCTTAGTATATTTACCTTCTGCCCAAGGCTCATAATAATATTTGGTTTTTGGCGGCAAAAAGTTTGGGCACACCTGCACAAGGTTGACAAGTTGTATTAGAATGGTGAATTTTCAAAACTCCTAGACAATTTTTTTATACTGGGAGAGTTATAATGGATGCTTTCAAAAATATATGACCAAGAAGAATTTATGGTTTTTATCACAAATTGATCTGAAGCTAATTTCTAATGTTCTTTTATGTAACTTTTCATTTATTAATTTCTATTTATTTATTCTGTATCATTAAGATATGGTTAAGTCATTAATATATAATATGTTTATATAATAATAATAATAGTAGTAATAGTAACAGTGAACTTTATCAAATGAAATGAGTGTCGTTAACTCAAATTTTGCTGAAAGTTAATTCCTAAAATAGTTTAAGTGACCTTGACTGTTTGGGTTTTACAGTGTATCAATCTTGCCATGAAATATCAAAAAGTTGCTAATGTGGCAATAAATAAACAAACTAAAATGATTTATTGATAGTTAAAGTTGGAAAAAAATGAGAATAAAAACAAAGATTAAAACATGGAACATGAAAAATGAACTACAAGTGTTACATTAATCAAAAGTGAAACATTTGTGATGTTTTGTTTTCCCATTTTTAAAAATATATATTATTCAAAGAATGCTGAAAAGAAATGATCTTTCTACAAAATATTAAGCTGCATGACTACATCATCCTGCTGCAGTTAATTATTAAAGTAATTATAAGAATAATAAACATTTATTTTAAATTGAAGTAATATTCTCCCCATGTTTGTGTGGGTTTTCTCTGAGTGGTCCGTTTTCCCCCCACAGTCCAAAGGCTTGTTTGTCTATAGGTTAATTGAATAAACATAATTTGCCATAGTGTATGTGTGTAAATGAGTGTGTGTGGATGTTTCCAAGTACGGGGTTGCAGCTGGAAGTTGGAGGCTGTGTAAAACATATGCTGGATAAGTTGGCGGTTCATTCCGATGTGGTGACCCCTGATGAATAAAGGGACTAAGTTAATAATAACTTATAATAAATAACTAAATCAATAAATGAATGAAAATATTTTGCAATATTAGACATTTTACTGCTTTTATGACCTAATGCTGATATCTTGGTGAGCAAAAGAAATGTACCTCTATCCTAACTTACCTTTAAATAATCCCAGACTTTGCTGACAATGTTGCAATTAAAATTACTGACAAGTTGGCTCCCAAAATTCACTTTTTGCTCCAAATTATCACTTACCAAGTTTTACTTTTTGAACTACAATAAAAATTTTAAGAAGGACCCCAGAGTACAGCCTATTTAAATTTTCATCTTTGGCTTTTTATCTTTTTATGCCAGTTCACCCTTAAACCTGTTCAGTTTCCATCAAGGCTGCTCTGAATTCATAGCACCTTTCTTTCTGTCCTATTTTTAAAGTGGTCTGTTGAAACAATACAAGTCTGAGAGTGACAGATGTGAGATGAGGTTCTGATTACTTGTGAAAGAATTTTTTTTTTTTTTCATTCCTCGTGTTCTCAGGTTTGGGCACTTTAAACACCTTCTGATTTCTCATGCATGCATTTTTCCCCTCCCTTTTCTCTGTTTCTCATTTCCTGTGGGTGCAACATCTCCTTGCAGACATTGCTTAGGCAGGCAGATCACTTAGAAAAAACTGAAACCTTATGCCTGAAAAATTACCTAGCTGCATGACCTCTTTACTTGAAGATTTGTGGATAAATTGTAATTCAGATGTGCCCTCAGACTGATTTAACCTGTCATGCTTTGCTTTGCTGAACTAACTGGCCTTGCCTTCTTGTCATTCTTCTCTTTTGCTTTCTCTCCTGCTGCCTTTCCTCTGCCTCTTTGGGCTCTCTTGCACTCGGATGGCAGTAAAGCTCAAGACTGGGGTTATTTGAATGAAGATGGCGAGCTAGGCCTGGCCTACCAGGGTCTAAAGCAGGTTGCCAGGTTGTGCTTTGATTTTTATTTTTTCACCACCAGGTTTTTGCTGGGTCTTAATAACAGTCAAAATATTTATAAATTCAAATTATAGGCTTTAAAATCCACTGAAGTATTGTGTTCTAGGTCTTTTTTCCTGTAAACAAACAGGCTTTTCATTCTTGCCGTTGTACTACTGTTTAATCAACAGGGGGCGCTGTTTTGTAATGACAATTAGTGTAGAAGTAGTTTGGACGTGGACTTGCTGAATGGATTTTGGTTATGTATAAACTGAATAGGTTGTGGATACATTTCAAGGACACCCTTTAAATGTTACACTAAAAAGTAAAACCAACACTAAAATGATTCAAAGCATCACCTAATACCCAGTAATGAGATTATTAAATGTGATGTTAGAAGTGAATATGTGACCCTGAACTACACAACTAATAAGTATCCTTTTAAAAATACATTTAAGAATCATCTGAAATAATCTTTGTTGTATTATTAAATATAGTTTGTTAGGATAGGACAATATTTGTCTAAGATACAACTGCTTGACAATGTGAAATCTGAGGCTTTTAATAAAATCTAAATATAGAGTAAATGGCCTTTCAACGTTGTCTAATTGACATGCTTAGCAAAGTAAATTACTAAGTAAAAATCAAGTTGATATATTTAAGTTTACATAGTAAAAAAAAAATCTTATTTTAAACATTACTTTTACTTAAAGTACTAATAATTTTTGGCATAGAAGGAAAATCCATAATTTTTGAATATTTTGGTTCTAGTTTTTGCAGACATAAAAAAACAAAGAACAGACAGACAAAGACATCATGTAACAATAAGCTGTGCATAATATAAAATAAAGCATGAAACTAGGGGAAATGGCGAGATACAAGACACAGTATATCTAAATCTTTCCAAATGTAAAATGGAGGTGAGTCCTAGAAGGCAGCCAGAAGAAAGAGGCCTAACATTTTTCTTCCAGAAACAAAGGATAACTTTTTAGCTGTAATCATGCCATACTGGATAGGTAACCGTACGTTTTGGTTGAGAGTCTCCAGAAAATCTGACCAGCTAAAAATTGCTATCATTGGGTCAGGGAGGAAAACACAATTGAAACCTTAGCAAAGAACTGAAATATTTCTAAACAAACACTCTGAATTTGATTACAGGATCAAAAAGATGTGCTAATGTACAGTTGAAGTCAAAATTATTAGCCCCCTTTTTCACAGTATGTCTGATAATATTTTTTCTTCTGGAGAAAGTCTTATTTGTTTTATTTCGGCTAGAATAAAAGCCATTTTTTTAAACACTACTTTAAGGTCAAAATAATTTGCACCTTTAAGCAATATATTTTATCGATAGTCCACAGAAAAAAACGCTGTTATACAATGACTTCCCTAATTACCCTAACCTGCCTAGTTATCTTAATTAACCTAGTTAAGCCATTAAATTTCACTTTAGGCTGTATAGAAGTGTCTTGAAAAAGATCTAGTAAAATATTATTTATTGTCATCATGGCAAAGATAAAATAAATCAGTTATTAGAAATGAGTTACTAAAACTATCATGTTTAGAAATGTGTGGAAAAAAATCTGCTCTCTATTAAACAGAAATTGTGGGGAATAAACGGGGGCTAATAATTCAAGGGGTTTAATAATTCTGACTAAACTGTACCCTCGGCAGTTTACACTTGTCACATGTGGGGGAAACCGAGGGATAGAATTTACTAAGCTTTGTTTTAGAATATTGGAGTCTGTGTAATACTGTGTACTAAATGAGGTTGTGTCTAGAATTTACAGAACATGAATAAACGGATGAAAGACATTGGTTAAATCCCACACACTGTGTTTTTGGCCAGAAATATACTATTGGCCAGAAATATACCTGTGCAACATAAGATTGGTTTTATGTTGCAGGGTCACATATATGGATGATATGGACATGTAACTTATAAACTGACTATTATTATTGTTCTTTAATAAACATTCAAATTTAATCAACATTTTAATGAACATTAACCTTTAAATTAAAACTGATTTTTTCTGCTCTTGCAGGCTCATTTCCTAAATTTAAGTGATTAATTTAGGTTACATTTTATATGTAAAAACAAATAACACACTAAATGCAAACTTTAAAAAGCTTTGGACAACCTGTGCGTGAAATATATGCGTTGTTATTCCTCAAAGCTTCGAATAGAGAGACTATCAATATATTAAAATCTTAATACTCGTTGAAATACTCCAATAGGGTTTTTTACCAAAAAAAGTTTGTATTCTGTGGTGATGTAGTTCTTTATTTTGCTAGTTATAAAATATAGTAAGCTGTATTACAGCTGCAGATGACATTTGCGATGTACAGTAGGTTGTTATTTTAATTCATAATGGTCATACAAAGGTCTTAAAGGGGCAGTTCTCACCAAAAAAATAAATATCATTATTTACCCAAGCATGACTTGTTCCAGATCAACTATATTGTACACAAACATATATATATATATATATATATATATATATATATATATATATATATATATATATATATATATATATATTTTTTTTTTTAGAATGTTGGAAACCGGAAACTATTGACTTCCATAGTAGGAAAAACAAATACTATAGAAGTTAATGGTTACCAGTTTTCAGCATATTTCAAGGTATCTTTTTTGTGTTCAGGTTTGGAACGAGTCAAATGTGAGTAAATGATGACAGAATTTACATTTTTTGGTGAACTATCCCTTGAAAGACCTTGAATCTGACTGGTTGAGACCTGCAGAAACCCTACATACATTTACCTGATCATATATTAATTTGTGTCATTTTTGTGAAGCTTTAACTGTCAGAGTTTGAAGTGTGTACACAGTTGACCTTTTTATAATGTTGTGCTGCATGTTTGTTTGTGTTTAGACTGCTGGAGACCCAACTGCAGACCCAGACTCGACAGCACAGGGATGAGTTGGAAGCCCTTCACACACAGATCGAGCTCCTGAAGGACAATCTGGAGAAGAAGCAGGACATGCTGGACCACTTCTCCACACTTTCTCCTGATGCTCTGGTGGAGTTCAGCGTGCAACAGGAGATCACACGCCTCACCAATGAAAACCTGGTGAGAGATGATTACAATAGAATAGAATCAGCAAAAATACATCTGTATGCCGATGACACAATAATATATACAGCAGCACATTCTTTAAATCAAGCTGTACAACATCTACAGATTGCTTTTCAAATATTGCAGTGTACGTTGCAAAATTTAAAATTGGTTTTAAATTCAAAAAAGACTAAATATATGATTTTTAGCCGTGGCCGCACTAAGTCAACAGATCAGACTATAAAAACTCTGAACGGTGTTCAAATAGAAAGAGTTAGCTTTTATAAATATCTAGGAGTTTGGATTGATGAGAGATTAGCCTTTGATATACATATTGACAAGTTACTGAAAAAGCTTAGGCCAAAGTTAGGTTTTTTATACCGGTCAAGAAATTGTTTTCCTTATAAAGTCCGCAAAAAATTAGTAGAGAGTACATTTCTGTCTATAATGGATTATGGTGATCATCTCTATATGCACGCAACCGCTACCCTATTAAGAAAATTAGATTCTGTTTATCATGCAGCAATACGTTTTGTCACAGGTGCAGATTCACGGACGCATCACTGTATTTTGTATGATTCCTTAGACTGGTTATCTCTATATCAAAGGAGAAAATTACATCTGTACTTATTTATTTTTAAAGCTCTTTTAGGTAAATTACCATCCTATATTTTTAATTTATTAACATTTCACACCAACAATCAAAATACTAGATCTGGTTCATGTATTCGTCTGATAGTTCCAAGGGCATTATCAGAACTTGGCAACGTGCTTTTTCCGTTCACGCTCCCAGGGCTTGGAATGACCTGCAAAATCAGCTCAATCTTGACACTCTTCCGACTCTGAGTACTTTTAAACATCTTTTATACAACATTTTAAAGGACACCTGCATTTGTTTGTTATGAGCTGATGTTTTTAAGAATGGTGATTTTGTAATTTTGTGGTATTGTTTGTGATTTTTATATGAAACTTTATGTGCTGCCTGCCATCTTGACCAGGTCTCACTGGAAGAAGAGACAGTACTGTCTCAATGTGATCTCCTGGCTAAATAAAGGAAATACATAAATAAATAAATAAATATGTTAAAAGAATTTATAATTTTTTAAATGTGTATATATATTGCCATTTCTGAAATATACATATTTTTTATCATCAGAAACATTATGTGACTTAGTCCATTCATTCATTCATTAGATATTTTTCATCAGCTTAGTCCCTTATTTATTAGGGAATATATATTTTACATTTGTTTTAAGCATGAACGTTTAATTTAGGTTAAATTAAGTTTAAACAATTTGTCAATGGGGTAACAAAAAAAACCTTGAAAAGGTAATATTGTTCTACAATAATATTTGCTGTAATAAATCTTTTTTAAACTGTTATTAAATTTGCCTGGTTTTAAGTGTTCCTAAATTTCAAAAAGGAATGCAGACATCATTGGATTGGTCTCCAAGAGTGTGTTACATGATAAAACGTATACATTTAACACAATATTAGATTAGATTCAGCTTTATTGTCATTACACATGTACAAGTACTAGGCAACGAAATTCCAGTTTAGGTCTAACCAGCAGTGCAATAGCAGCAAGTGCAGGAGACAGGTATACGTTATAAATCAGTTGTCATAAAAATAAATCAGTTGTCATAAAAATATCATCCACATGCATAAATGTAAAGAAATATGTAGTTTATTTGTTTATATTTTAACCATTTTAAAAAGAGCAGTGAAGTTAAATTTGTATCCTACTGACAAAACATTGACCAATAATAATATGACTGTGATGATTTTGTTATGCAGGACCTAAAGGAACTCGTTGAGAAGTTGGAAAAGAATGAGAAGAAGCTGAAGAAGCAGTTGAGGATCTATATGAAGAAAGTGCAAGAGCTGGAAGGTTAGATGTCTACCTTTGCTTTGTTTGTTTAACTTTTCCTTTAATACCAGATGCTGATTGGCTGTTTGTTTTTTTGCAGTGACTCAGGCCACTAAAAGCAGACCGGAGCTCACTCGTCAGTTCACTGTCCAGAGAAGAGAGAAGGACTTTGAAGGCATGCTGGAGTACTATAAAGAAGATGAGGCCTTGCTGGTCAAGACTTTAGTTACAGGTATGTGTGGTTGGATGCAGACAGGTTTTGAATGTAGAGGCTTAGAGTTGGCATAAATACCCAAGTGTTGTTTTTTTTAGACATGAAGCCCAACGCTGTGTCCGCCACTGTCCCCTGCCTCCCCGCATACATCCTCTTCATGTGCATCCGTCACGCCGACTACATCAATGATGACCAGAAAGTTCATTCACTACTGACCGCTACCATCAACGCCATCAAAAAAGTGCTGAAGGTATGAAGCACATCAGCTCACTTCCAGAATTCACAGCATACTTAGTTTAAGGGCTGTTCATACCAAGCACAATAACGAGAAATATATTTGTGTTCATACAGATTAACGTTAATGATCTGTTTATTTTTATATTATTCCTTTAATCTGGCATTATTCCTTGTAACCAGCAGGTGTCCTCATTGTGAAACTACTCTATCTGAACACTATTACTATAGACCGTTTCAATGTGGCCATGTTATTGGTCCATGAACATTTCCTGCTTGTAATCTAACTTTTTCATAAACGTAACAAGAGGCAATTCAATCATAACTTAATGTTAAAACAGTGATCATAACATTATTGATCAACGTGTCTCTTTTTGGATTCTCAGGGGCTATAGAAATTAAAAATTTGAAAACAAGATATATATTTGGACCATTGTTTTTTGTTTACATCTCTCAAAATGGGCTTTACTACTGTATACTTTAATTTATCAGCACGCCTTTCATAACTTCCATGTATTTTTAAATTATTATATTATGTATTATAGCCATTTGCTTCCATGATAGTCGTTATCTCTAAATAATCTTTTATTAAGGGATGTGCTGTTGGGGATGTTTTTATCCACTCTGGGGTGTTTTTGATTCTTAATTTGGCCATATTTTTTTCCTTGTTTCAGCTAGTGAAGTGATTTTGGTGACAAATCTTTTTTTGACACATATTTTGAGAAAATGCTTTGAAATTAAAAAAAAAAAACTCAACGATACACTCTTGCCACATTTACTACATTTTTTATATGTTTGCATAAATCTGTTAATCAACCTCAGTCTTGATCAAAACTGCTAAATTGTTTAGAAAATTACTGGATTTTAACTCTTTAATTGCTAAATTCGTAAATGATGTCACTGATTTGGTGGAAAAAAACACACAAAATGGCGTATTTTTAATATAAAAAGTTATGTGGACTGGATTTTTTTAACCGTTTATCAAAGTGCTGGACATGTAAAACAACGTTGTCTTTAATTCATTGTTTTTGATTGATTTACATTTTTTCTCCCTAGTTTACTGTTGGTGGCTGTTTTAGCCACATTGACTTTCATTACAACCACATTTATTGATTGTAAGGCCATGACATCATAAACATACGTTTGTGATTGTTGGTGGTTTTCTCTGTTGGGAAGAGGTAAAATTTGTAGTTTTTACTGTTGATCATCAGTTGACACCAATAACCCTTTAAATATGCCTGTGCAAAAAAAGCTTAGTGAGTGTGTGAGAGTGACCTTTGTGCACTTACCTTGATGTGTCTGAGAGAATCAAAATATGCATCTCAGCTCTCAGAACTACATGTAATAAATAAAACCAAGAAAAATAAATCCAGTCCACAATTACTTTTTTAATATTGAAAATATGTCATCTTGTGTTTTATTCACTAAATCAGTGATGTCATTTTTGAACACATAAATTTTAAAAACATTTAGTAGTGTTGATGAGGACTGAGGTTGACATTCATCAGCTGGGATAAATCATTCTGAAAGAGATCCCAATAATATTGCTCCTCTGTATCTATATGCTTGTAAATGTGGTGGTGGGAACTCTGCTATTCTTTAAAACTGTAAATGATCTTTATAATTATCGTGCTTGATGTGAACAGGGCATAAGAGTCATTAACAGGATAGTTCAACCAAAAATACTATTTACTCAGCGTTTACACTCCCTCAAGTGACTTTTTTTTATCTTGTAAACACAGATGAAGATGTTTTGAAGAATTTTGGAAACTGTGGAGGTCAATGGCCACTGCTTTCCAAAATTCTTCAATCTTCTTTTGTGTTCATGAGAAGAAACTCAAACAGGTTTGGAACGAAGTGGAGGAGTAAATGATTACAGAACTCTCATTTTTGGGTGTATTTCTCTTTATGAAAAGTTAGAATTTGTCAAGTATTTATTTAATTGATCAAAATTGACAGTGAAGACATTTTTTAAAAGTTATTTTTAAATAAATGTGATGAAATCTTACCAATCCTTAAACCTTTAAACAGTAGTTTGTAAGGCAATAATTATAGGTTATCAATCGTCTGTTTTTTTGACTGTCTAGAAAAACAACGATGACTTTGAGATGACCTCCTTTTGGCTGGCAAATGCAAGTCGACTTTTACACTGTCTGAAGCAGTACAGCGGCGATGAGGTGAGATTTTAGACTTTTTACATTGTTTTATTTATATATACTGTATATCTGATTATTTAATTTTGTGAATAGTAACTCAAGCTCCTTTTACCCAATTTTATTTGGTCATTTTGCAAATAAATAAGCTCAAGTGATGCTTAAAAAGTTGGCTTTTAAAGACCATATTAACCCAGTTTTAATCTTTGTGTAAAGTTTTTTTTATATTTTTCTTAATCTACATTCTGGTGACAGTTACACTGTTTCCACCTCCTGGTATTAACATTCAATTTAACATTTCTATGTTATTGTGCAAGTATTAACAGGAGGTTGATTGAGACCGTTTCTATATGTATTTAGCAGATTGAAAGTAAACTACGGCAGCTGTAATAACACAAATAACAGATTAGATTACAAATAACAGCAAAGTAGTTGTTTTTCTTGATAATATGTTACAAACCAGCTTCAGATGTCAGCAATTCTGTTGCTGTCTTTTCCTATCATGAGATAAATACATCTCATGTATTTATCCTTTCCTTTTCTGACTGTAAATGTCTGGTCGCTGGAATCATGTGGACAAACACAGTAGGGTACCAAGCCCTATTTGTTAAAAGTTGATATACATGAATCTGAATTATAGAGTGTCCTATGTGTATCACCCATGGCTTTCCGATCTTTGTTTATTTTTTTAATAAACAGTGTGAGATGTCATGTGATGTTGTTCATCTGAGGTGTTATCTTTCAAATTTTAAGACCTACCAAGCAGTTTTTTTTAATGTCTTGAAACTAAAAAACCTGAAATTCAATAGGGTGTCTTTTTACACGACTGTAGTTACTTAAAATAAGCCAATAGTCCACAGGGGAGCATCAAAAATAAAGTGTAACCAGTGCTCGGTATGATTTGCCTGTCTAATTCTGTCCTAGGCGTTCATGACCCAGAACTCTGCCAAGCAGAACGAGCACTGCCTGAAGAACTTTGACCTGGCGGAGTACCGACAGGTTCTGAGTGACCTCTCCATCCAAATCTATCAGCAGCTTGTGAAAGTTGCCGAGGCCAACATGCAGCCCATGATCGGTAGGTGCAGAGAGACACCAAACCAAAGAAGATTGATCATTAGCACAGTACATTTTTTCATAATGAGTGTGTTTTGTAGTGTCTGCCATGCTTGAGAGCGAGAGCATCCCCAGCCTGGCCGGAGTGAAGCCCATGGGTTACAGGAACCGCTCCTCTAGTGTGGACTGTGAGAGTGGAGGTCCCGCAGGATACACGCTTCAGGCACTGATCAAACAGCTGGCTCAGTTTTACTCTACCATGGCGGACCACGGCCTGGACCCTGAGATCAGCCAGCAGGTGCTTCGCCAGCTCTTCTACTCCATCAACGCAGTGACCCTCAACAACCTGCTGCTGCGCAAGGACGTCTGCTCCTGGAGCACCGGCATGCAGCTCAGGTACACATTTTTAATGCTTTTAGGCTAATTAATATTTTTCTCAGCAGTCATCATAGTTAGGTAAACTTAAAGAGCAGTGAATGGGTTTAATTACAGCCACAAAGTCAATAAGGGCTTTAAAATGTGCATTTGTATTAAATGTTTGATGTAATCTTAATCAAAATATAAAGAGAGGGTGGGGCAAATAGTAGCATGATTAGCATGATAGTAGCATAAGCTCTTTTTTTAAAAACAGCCAATAGCATTTCGTTTTCATTACAGCTCTGCCTTAAATAAGAAGCGCTTTGAAGGTGGTAGTGGGGGTGGCGGGGGCATGTTAGATACTAGAGCACATTTGATTGGTCAAGATTTGGTAAGAATCATTGAAAAAAAACGTTGATCCATTTAGACGGAACTGCAAACTGCAAGCTTTGGGTGTTTACGTCAGGTTTATATCATCTAAACATGAAATTCGTCAATGCTTTGGAGAGCACTAGACATTTAACACTAACATACTGATACTAACACCTGAAAAACATTATTTGCCAATGGTGCCAATAGCCTAGTGGTTTTTGCAGCAACATGTTGCACTGAGGTACTCATGGCAACCCAAGTTCAAATCCCGGCTCGAGATCCTTTGCTAATCCTTCAAGTCTCTTTCTGCTCCCAATGCTTTCCTGTCTAAAATCTCCACTGTCCTATCCTAATAATGGTGAAAAGCCCCTAAAAAGTAATAAAAAAAAGAAAGATATTTTGCATGTTACCTTGGTGAAAACCCTATGTAAAGCATCATTTGTTTGTGTTTATCTTTTTCTTTGATCATACTCTGGAGTTTAAACAGGTCTTGGTAAATTGGGTCTTGTAGATGGTTTGTGATGTGTTTTTTTTAGTCCTGGGCAAAAATTGATTCATCTCATCTAAACTAAAAGTTTGTTTTGACATTTGAATTTAAGTGTGTGTATATTTATTATGCATGTTCTGTGTAAAAACACATGCCTGCATAAATCTCACAAATTGTTTATTTATATTTAGATTTAGTATATACAAATAGGTTCATAAATATTTGGACTTCGACACAATTCTAACATTTTTGTGTTACAAGATGTGCTTTAACTGCAGACTTTTTACATCTAAATCAGGTGAAAGCTGTAGGAATTACAACCGTTTGTATATGTGCCTCCTACTTGTTAAGGGTCCAAACGTAACTGGACAATTGGCTTCCAAGTTGTTCAATGGCCAGGTGTGTGTTATACCCTCATTATGTCAATTACAATGAGCAGATAAAAGGTCCAGAATTCATTTCAAGTGTGCTATTTGTATTTGGAATCTGTTACTGTCAACTCTTAAGATGAGTTCCAATGAGCTGTCATTATCTGTCAAGCAAGCCATCAATAGGCTGAAAAGAAAAACACCAGAGAGATAGCAGAAACATCAGGTGTGGCCAAACAACTGTTTGGAACATTCTTAAAAAGAAAAAAATGTCCCAGTGAGCTCAGCAACACCAAAAGACACGGAAGACCACAGAAAACTGCTGTGGTGGATGACCAAAAAATTCTTTCCCTGGTAAAGAAAACACTCTTCACAACCGTTGGCCAGTTTAAGAACACTCTCCAGCATGTAGGTGTATTTCTGTCAGAGTCAACAATCAAGAGAAGGCTTTACCAGAGTGAATACTGAGGGTTCACCACAAGATGTAAACCACTGGTGAGTCTCAAAAACAGGAAGGCCAGATTAGAGCTCTAAAAAAGCCTTCACAGCACTAGAACAATATTTTATGGACAGATGAGACCAAGATCAACTTGTACCAGAGTGAAGGGAAGAGAAGAGTATGGAGAAGGAAAGGAATGGCTCATGATCCTACACAGTGAAGCATGGTGGTAGTAGTGACATGGCTTGGGCATGTGTGGCTGTCAAAAGAACTGGTTGTCTTGTATTTTATTGATGATGTGTCTGCTGACAAAAGCAGCAGGATGAAATCTGAAGTGTTTCAGGCAATATTTTCTGCTCATATTAAGCCAAATGCTTTAGAACTCATTGGATAGTGCAGATGGAAAATGACCCAAATAAAACTGCTAAAGCAACCAAAGAGTTTTTGAAGTGAAAGAAGTGGAATGTTATGCAATGGCCAAGTCAATAACCTGACCTGAATCCGATTGAGCATGCGTTTAACTTGCTGAAGACAAAACTGAAGGGAAAATGCCCCAAGAACAAACAGGAACTGAAGACAGTGGTTGTAGAGGCCTGGCAGAGCAACACCAGTAATGAAACCCAGTGTTTGATTTTAAGTTTGATTTATGATTATTATTCTGTCTAATTACTTTTGGTCCCTTAACAAGTGGGAGGCACATATGCAAACTTTTTGATCTCAAATACCCTCAAATTAAAGCTGACAGTCTGTGGTTAAAGCACATCTTGTTTCATTTCAAATCTATTGTGTTGGTGTATAGAGCTAAAAATGTTAGAATTGTGTCGATGTCTAGTTCTTTTTTGTTTGTTAATTCTTGCTTCTTTCTAATTTTGTTGCATTCTTTGCATAGGTAAAATATGTCAAATGTGAAACCTTTTTGCAATCTTTGACTTCAAGAAAACATAATTGACTAAAAAAAGTAATGTCAGATGAATGTAACGTGTGGTTTCAGGTACAACATCAGTCAGCTGGAGGAGTGGCTAAGAGGGAAGAACCTGCACCAGTGTGGAGCTGTGGCCACTATGGAGCCGGTCATTCAGGCCGCGCAGCTGCTGCAGGTGAAGAAGAAGACATCACAGGACGCTGAAGCCATCTGCTCGCTCTGCACTGCACTCAGTTTACAGCAGGTACACATTTAGCTTTCATTTTTTTCCTTTCTATTTGTTTTGTTTTGTTTTTACTTTTATTAACTCAATTTTGCTCTATCTCAGATTGTGAAGATTCTGAACTTGTACACACCACTCAATGAGTTTGAGGAGCGAGTCACTGTTTCCTTCATAAGAGACATACAGGTAAAATGAAGCACACATACATACATGCACTTATAAATCAAAACATTTAAGCATTCCATATTAAAAACAATGAAATTTTGAGGTCACAGCACAAGTTACAGAACATACACCTGCTTGAAAAGTATAATGCTGCGTCCCAATTTGCATACTATCCGCCCTAAATAGTATTCGAAATTAGAATTAGTATGTCTGAAACCATAGTATGTTGAAAAAAGCATGCCAAAGATTCCCGGAGTGTCTACTATTTCTAGTAAAAATGCGAAATGTAGAACTGTCCATAGTCTCACCCAGACCTGGCCATTTTACGGCCAGTGAAGTATTTATTTAATTTAAATTCAACTGCAAAAAGGGCCTTTCAATGCACAGGTCTGATATTGCGAGTGAACAAAAAGGGACTTTAACATATAGCATCTTTTGCCCTCTCAGTTTCATTATTTTAAATGGAGACATGCCTGTTCAGCGCGCAAATACTGTAGGAAGAGATACACATGTGGTATGTCACGCTCACGTTTTCCAGGCGACACGGGTTGAAAAAAAATCTAAACATTTCAGTGCAGCAAGCGAACCACAAGTCATGTGAAAGGAACCAACCAGGCAACTTCACACTTTGTATAGAATTACACAGTAATAAAAGTAGACTAATTACCTCAGATTAATGGTTTAACAAATGCAGATACAGATCCTCTCTCAGTGATGATCATTACAGCACATATCCACCTCACATTGGCCTGAATTCAGTGCGCTTGTTCAGCCCAACTCAGGCTAGAATTCTCTAAGTTAATATAAAAATTAAGGATAAATAAATAAAATGTACCTAAGGTGAAGCAATCAAATTATGAAGGGAAAGAAGTAGAATGTTATGCAGTGGTCAAGTCAATCACCTGATCCGAATTCGATTGAGCCTGCATTTCACAAAACTGAAGGGAAAATGCCCCAAGAGCAAACAGGAACTGAAGACAGTTGAGTAGAGGCCTGGCAGAGCACCACCAGCAATGTAAATACCCACCGACATGGAACTTTCGCCTGTGTTATGGTACCTTGTTGCAATTTTAGTTTCCCTAACGGGATAATAAAGCAGAGTCTGAGTCACTGTGGTGTTGATGTGAGAGTGACGTACTGCATGTGTATCTCTTCCTATTTGCGCGCTGAACAGGCGCATCTCCATTTGAAATAACGAAACTGAGAGCGCAAAAGGCATAGCTAAAGTCCCCTCGTGTTAACTCGCATTGTCAGATCAGAATGAATATTAACTGAAGTAAAGCAATCAATCAAACAACCCCGTGGCATTTATATGAAGTCAGTATTGTGATGCTGCTCTTTAAAATACTTTTTATTTAAAATTGATTCTTTTTTAAACGAGAGTTTTTATGAATGTTAATTGAATAGTTTCACAGAATGTTTTTATTTTTTGAAAACAAATACCTGTATTGGTCTAGCTTTCTATACCCCCCAGAGTCTAATGTGGACCCTGGAAAAATTAGTTGCACACCCCTGCTCTAACCACTAATATTGCCCCAATACAGTGTGCATTAAATTTGATTAGTACTACAAACTTGGGTAAAAAGTGTAAACAAGCTACAAACATGGACGCACAAGACCAACTGTTAAGTAAAGGGGCTTTGGTTAAGAAGTTTTAATGACTATGAGTTAATTTCTAGCCAACTTTAAAAAAATGAAATCACGTTTTCCATGTTATAGTTCATCTGCAACACCAATATGAACTTCTATAAAAAAAATTAACATATTTATCCAAAGAACTAAGGAGATTTTCTGCATGAAAAACTTGCGAATGTTAGATTAACCTGCTTCTGCATCTTCAATAAGGTAGATCATTAAATATGAAAGAAATGATTGACAGGGGACCTACTGTAACTAACTAAGCAACAAGACATCCATTAATGAAGAAGTAATATGTCCCAAAACTTGCATACTCTTCAGTTACACACTCAAACGTATGTACATTTTCTTCACAGAACAACTACATACTTTAAAGACGTAGTATAAGCATGTGAATAGAGACTAGAGTATGAATATTTTCTGATGCCTTCTCGGTGCGATTATCTGATGAATACGCTCACTGTCCTTCACAGAATCGCCTCCAAGATCGAATAGAAAACAACCAACTGCTGGCGGACACGAAATACACCTTCCCCGTGCTCTTCCCGTACACTCCTTCCAACCTCAGCCTGGAAACCATCCACATCCCAGCCTCCCTCAGCCTGGACTTCCTGACGCGGGTCTGACATCTCCGTCTCTCTGTCTAACACTGAGCTCCGGCACAATCAAACCTGCAGAAACCAGAGCTGGCCGGACGCAGATCTGCTAATATAACCCACATACTAACACCACCAATTCGACCTGTGGGTACTTTAACCAGATGAACCGTCTTCTCCCTGACCGACTAACTGTGGTGTTGAAGTCTGATGAACTATGCGGTGTAAATAAGCTGTCTGCCTTTTCACTCACTCCCTGAACAAAGTGAAAACGCTGTATTTTGGATGGGGATGCGTTTGACTAATACTTATGATTAAATGGAAATGAAAATACGAGGGTTTTTGGGCTACTGACACTAAACACTAATACCAGAGTGTGTGTTCGTCATGTATCTGTGTTAGTATGCACTGATTTCTGTGTGTTTGTAATGGAAAAGTGTATTTTATTTTTCTTTGCTTGTGCTGGAGTTTCATCTCAGAAAACATGGACTCCTACTGAAGCAGCGCCGCCATCTTGTTTTTTATTTTCTAGGAGAACTTTTAAAATGGGCTCCAGAGATTCATTTCCACAGAAGACGCTGGAAATCTCTGCATTGCAATGGCTGTTTCCACTGTGACCAATCTGGATTTGCTCTGAACATGGTGTTTTCATGTTTTTCCCATGTGTTGAAGAATCTGATGCAGAGACTCGGGGCCCTGAAACACAGAGCCAAAGGGATAGGGCAGATAGTGAAAGTGTCATTGAAAAGCGGAAGTATGTGAAGCAGAGAGACTCAGGACGTCGAGAGGAGTTTGAGCTGGGATATTTAATATGCTGTGGAAATCAATAATGGTGGGATTGTCGTCTGTCGGTGGAATCTAGAATGTGCTGCAACCACAATTTTTAAAAGATATCTAATAGACGTCTAATAGACATCTTAACAAAGTCGTCTTGGCTAAAACAAGGATAAATTTGCGCTGTTATACACCTCTAAGAATAGGCCAAAACTAGACTAGTCATCAAATAAACAGAAATGAATGACTGCACATATAAAGTCTGTCTAATCTGTCAACTTGACAACAATAGTTTTGGGCTATTCTTAGATGTCTCTTAGATTTTCACTGACGGCCCAAGTTTAGCCTTGTTTAGCCAAGCTGTCTACATTTAGATGTCTACACTGCAAAAAATGCTTTTCTTGCTTAGATTTTTTGTCTTGTTTCTAGTCTAAATATCTAAAATTTCTTATATCAGGAAGCATTTTTTAGACAAGCAAAACATATTGCCTTGATTTGAGAAATAATATGCCAATATTAAGTCAGTTTTTCCTTAAAACAAGCAAAATAATCTGCCAATGGGGTAAGGAAAATAATCTTGTTTTTTCTTTTGATGTAAGATTATTTTGCTTACCCCATTGGCAGATTATTTTGCTTGTTTTAAGGAAAAACTGACTTAATATTGGCATAATATTTCTCAAAACAAGGCAATATGTTTTGCTTGTTTAGAAAATTCTTCTTGATTTAGGAACTTTTAGATATTTGGACTAGAAACAAGACAAAAAATCTAAGTAAGAAAAGCATTTTTTGCAGTGTATTAGACGTCTATTAAACACAAATTGTTTGCTGGGCAGGTTGTGATGTAGAAATGTATTTCAGGAGGTGTCGTTTAAACTGGCATAAGTACAATAAAAGGCATTCTCAAAACTAGCAGGTTGCGATTTCACGAAAGCAATTATCTCGATTTACTTTACACTGTTGCACAGCTCTGTGAACGATCATGTGCAGTCGATAGCAATAACTACGCACTTTTTCTTTGACTTTTATGAAAAGTACATTTTTATATAATCTCTACGATGTTTTCCCTCGTACGTTGCCAACTGAATGAGCTGTTCTGCAAGAATAGTGCATTGTGTCGATTCAGGAAACTTCATTTGTTTCAAAGTGATCATCTTTTAGTTTTAGCTTTCAACATTTAGGCTCTACAGAAGTCAAATTCTCCTCGCTCTGAAGAGATTCTGAGTTATCTCCATGCCAATAAAGAATTGTCAAATAGTTCTTTCAGTGTCAATAAAGAACTGTCAATTTTCTGTGTTGTAGTCTTGCATTATTTCAGAGGTGGGGGGTTTTTAAAAAAAAATCTGACTATTAAAACAAAAGTAACCAATTTTATTTTTACAATGTCTCTCTCTGTGTGAAAGTGTGTGTGCTTATGGTGAGTCTGTGCATACATTTTATACTTGTTAGGCACAACTGTCCTTTATGTAGTGCATTAGGGTGTTCAGAGTAAACAATCAGAAACTTCATAATCCACCAGGGTTGTACCATAAAATGTTTCTACCAGAAAAATCATTATAAATTTATTCATGCTTCATTTCTGTAAATACAATGCTGAGAGCTTTACCTAAAAACCCAGTCTAAAAAAAGCATAGTGTTGTCCATGCTCTTGATACAATTAGTGTAAGAAATTAATTAGCGGTACAATTCATGTGTAAGAGAGCATTATTTATAAATCGAAAATGTACTACTGATTATGGTTTTGAATTGTGAATTACACCTTGCCTTGCTTTCTGTTCAGTAACAGTAAAGCTTTTCAGACAGTGTTTCATGCATAATCATGTCTTTATTTTATTTACTATTTTAAGTGTGTAAAACATTGTCGTTTTTATATTGAAATGCATTACAATAGGAAGGCATATGCAGAAGTAATAATAAAGACCAGCCAAGTATTGGGACACTTGCTGATCAAAGTACATTAATACTGGTGAACGTCTATTGTCTCGAGTTTAAAACAAAATCTATAAAAATGACCTGTTTATGAATCAAAAGGAAGACTGGGATGCTTCAATCATTCCTAGCTCTGTTTTTGTCCACATAAACTCTTTTTTTAAGCCAACATATTTGTTGTTACAAATATTGGGCAGCATTCTTGAAAAAACACAATGCTGAAGAGTGCTGAGTTTCATTTTAAACAACTTTTCACTTGAAGGGGTCAACACATGTACCTTGATAATGACCTGCAATATGTTCAGGCATAGCAGTGCGCTCACCATACACCAGCTATAGGTGGAGTGGAGAGACACAGGCAATTCAGTGTATGGGGATGATTTGGAGGCTATAATGGAAAGGGCCAATGGTGGAAATTTAGCCAGGACACCCCTAATGCTATGGCATTTTTAATGACCACATAGAGTCAGATTTAACATCTCATCCAAAAGACAGCCCTTACTGACAGTATAGTGTCCCCTTTACTAAATTTGGGTTATTAGGACTCACGCAGACCACAAGTTGAACGCCCCCTGCTGGCCTCACTAACACCACTTACAAAAGCAACCTACTTTTCCCATGTGGTCTCCCATCCAGGTACTGACCAGGCTCAGACCAGGCTTCAGTAAGTAACCAGTCTTGGGCTGCAGGGTGATATGAGTGTTTCCTGTATGCTGGGTTGCAGACTTAACCTAGTTGTATTAAAAGTCTTTTTGTTTTTATTTTGAAATTTGCCAGATGAACGCATAAAGTCAGCTTATGAGGTCCATGATATCTATCAGAAATAACACTAACGTTTCAGCAAAACCATGAATTTTACATCCTGCTGGAGTCTTATCATTTCTGTAGGAGTTTACACAATCCCACAGGACACCAGTGGACATATATAATAATATACTGTACATGAGAATCCTGCTCTTTACTTTCAGTCATACAGGAACAACCCTACAGGAGTCCTGTAGCAATGTACCCTGTCCTGCAGGATTTTCATTCAGTCCAACATGATTCCTGCCTGCAGGATCCTTACACATTATTCATTCATTTTCTTTTCGGCATAGTCCCTTTATTAATCAGGGGTTGCCACGACGGAATGAACCACCAACTTGTTCAGCATATGTTTTACACAGTGGATCCCGTTCTAGCCGCAACCTAGTACTGGTAAACACCCATACACTCTTGCATTCACACACAAACATAGAGCGGCCAATTTAACTTATTCAATTCACCTATAGCTTTTGTCTTATAACTTGAGGGGTAAACCGGAGGAAACCTACCCAAACAAGGGGAGAACATGCAAAGTCCACACAGAAATGCCAACTCCCAGCCAGGGCTCAAACCAGCAACCTTCTTGCCGTCAAGCTAAAGTGATACCCACCGCTGCCATCCCTACACATATACAGCCAAAATCCTGCAAGATTTTTTGTTAGGGTATATCTTTTTATTCTGTTAATGTTAAAAACAAGTGTCACGATTATGGAGTCAATAAAATGTGTCAACATGTTGCCCTTGTTGACCACTTTAAATATGATGCAGATAAAGAAGTTATCTTTTGATCTGTTTATCAAGTTTTTGCATTTCCTGTCGCTGCTTTCAACATCCTCGATGGGGTCTTGTGAATGTGGCTGTGCTCTTTTTCCCAGACATACGAGCTCTGTGGTAACGGTCGTAGGATGGCAACACACGCCAGCTTGATAATTTGCCTTGTCTGCTCAACCTCTGTGGTAACGTTTTCACAGGAAGTCATCAAACTCTGGCAGTGCAAACTCATGATGGTGAAAAACAAAACTAGAGATTTAAATAAGGGAGACTGTTTGAACAGGGTTTATTTTCTCTTTACAAGTGCACTGTAAAAAAAGAAAGTGTTGACAAAACATTAAAAAAAAAAAACTAAGCAACTTGATGCAGTAAGAACTTTTTGTCTCAACAACTTTTTTTTATAAACAATATTTTATTCAGCTAACATACCCAGGTAGCAAAGAATTCTGGCCACAGCAGGCATTTGTCCTGCACTGGCTTGCAACATGTGGGCCAAACATGGCCCTGGTCTGGCAAAGGTGGCACCGTCTTTAAGGCGGCATGCACACAATACCTTGGCCAGATGTAAATTTTAGTATTTGGCCCAGATGTTAATATTTGATATGTGGGCCACGTAAGTTTGGCCTATCTTGACCCCCATTAAAAGTACATTTTTATTATTTAAAAAAATTCTTCCAATCAGGTCGATTCGAGAAAAGCACACTCATAGCACGCCTAAAGCGCAATGATTCATGGTTTATCAATTTCATTACAATTGTGACACGCCAACATATCTGGCTCAGTTCAGGCTCAGTTATGGGTTATTAACTTGGCTAAGACTTGGCCCAGATATGGTCCATGTTTGGCCCTTGTCTGGAAGCCAGACTTGGTCCAGTCATGTCTCGTAATTCACTGCGGCAGGTGGGCCAAGCAGAAGCTGATTGAATGGGCCAGATATATTTTGCTGTATGGGTAACTTTGTTAATTCATGCAATGTTGATTATTGTATTTTACTAATAAAGCTATTCTTGTCACATCAACTGAAGCAACAGTTACAGCTATTGAGTCAATTCATTTTTTGTTTAGTTGAGGTTTTTTTTTTTTTTTTTTTTTTGCCAAATAGGTAATTATAGTACTAGTCAGCATATCATCCTGTTTTGAATCATTTTACTTACAAATAACAAACACCAGGGCATTGCAGTGGTGCTGTAGGTAGTGCTGTCGCCTAACAGCAAGAAGTTTGCTTGTTCCAGCCTTGGCCGGGGCAGTTGGCAGTTTTGTGTGGAGTTTGCATGTTCTCCCTGATTTTGCATGCGTTTCCTTCAGGTGCTCTGGTTTCCTCCACAAGTCCAAAGACATGCGGTAGAGAGGAAATGGGTAAGCTAAATTGTCTGTAGTGTATGTGTGTGATTGAGTGTGAATGGATGTTTCCCAGTGATGGGTTTGTGGCTGCCGGCTGGAAGTGCATCCGCTGCGTAAAAATGTGCTGGATAAGAAGGCAGTTCATTCCGCTGTGGCGACCCCAGATTAATAAAGGGTCTAAGCTGAAAAGAAAATGAATGAATGAATAATAAACACTACTTCATTCATTCATTCATTTTCCTTCGGCTCGGCCCCTTTATTAATCAGGGGTCGCCACAGCTGAATGAACCGCCAACTTATCCAGCATATGTTTTACACAGTGGATGCCCTTCCAGCTGCAACCCAGTACTAGGAAACACCCATTCACACTCACACCTGTACTGCATGTCTTTGGACTGTGGAGGAAACCAGAGCACCAAGAGGAAACCCACGTGAAAACAAAGATGCCAACTG